GAGAGACCCGGGTTCGGTTCCCGCTAAGGGCGTGTACCTCGGTTGCAGTTTGTCCTCGGCCCTGGTTTGTCGTGTGGGTGGCAGCCACTCGATGTGTCCCTTTCATGTTGATGTTTCTCTCTCTCTCTTCCTCCCACTCCATCTGAACAAAAAATGGAAAAATGTCCTCGGGTGAGGATAAAAAAAAAAATGTCCTCAATGAGGATTAAAAAAAGAAAAAAGAAAAATATAAAGTGCTTTTGTAGCACTTGGTACAGAGTAGGAGCTCAGCACAGCCACTTAATAAATGAATGAAAGGCATTGTTATTGGTTCCCACCCTTGAAATGAGGGTGGGGTTCTTCCTAATTTCTCTTTGCCTCTCCCATAGGCCTTACCTGCCGAGTACTGGGTCTTTTTTTTTTTATCATTATCAGAGGACATTTTTCCATTTTTTGTTCAGATAGAGTGGGAAAGAGAGAGAAACATCGACGTGAAAGGGACACATTGAGTGGCTGCCTCCCGCACAACCAACCAGGGCCGGGACAAACTGCAACCGAGGCACGCGCCCTCAGTGGGAACCGAACCCAGGACTCTCTGGACTGCAGGTCGATGCTCTAACTGCTGAGCCAAACTGGCCAGGGCCCAAGTACTGGGTCTTACACTGAGGAGATGCCCAATAAATATGTACTGAATCTGTGATAACGGTTTCATTTAATCCTATTGTTTTTTTCCGATGCTCTGCCAGAAATTGTTAACCCTCCTTATACAAAGGATTCATTTTATGTTTTGTTCTTGTATGGTTTATCTTTACTTAATATTTTTGTTTGATCACTTTTTTTCAGTAATAAATAAATGAAAACTTAGACTTTATAATTCCTGATACTTTCCTAGGCAACGTCTCCTAGACAATCCCCATGTGCATGCCCAGCCCACGTGGGACTCTGTTCAATGGGGGATCTTGATCATTGTGGGGCTTGACTGTGAACCGCAGATTTTTTTGTTTTATTATTATGATTTTTTAATATTTTAACTTATTTAAAAAATTCTCACCTGAGGACATTTTTGCATTTATCGTCAGAAAGAGCAGGAGGGAGAGAGTGGAGAAGAGAGAGAGAGAGAAACATCCATGTGAGAGAGACACATTAACTGACTGCCACCCACATGACCCCAGCCGGGGCCGAGGACGAACTGTAGCCGAGGTCTGTGCCCTTAGCGGGAACCGAACCCAGGACTCTCTGGTCTGCAGGAGATGCTCTAACTGCTGAGCCAAACCGACCAGGGCTAACCTCAGCTATTTTTAAAGAAAATTCTGTCTTTCCTTCCACTCAGCTGATCCTTGTGTTTATTAAGGAGCTGGGCAGAGGTTTCCCTTCTGGTAAGAGAGCAGGACGGAGCCCAGATTTGCCTTACTCACCAGGGGTGAGAGCCTGCGGTTCCCACAGACGCACCTTTGCCAACTAGACTGACTTCCTGCATGGATTATGCTGGGAAAGCAGTTCCAGAGCTGCCGACGTCTTTCAGAAATCTGACGGTGTGCCTGTCCCCCTGAAAGAGGCCCGCCTGAGCAGACGCTTGCCGGCCACCACGGCACTGCCGACGGGAGGGACCGTCGTCTGCCTGAGCTCCATGTGAGCGCCCTGCACATGGCTGCACAGCCCAGACACAAACCAGCTCGACTGCAAAGGACTGTTTGCTTTTTTTTTCCTTTTCCATTTTTGGTTCAGATAGAGCGGGAGAGAGCGGAAGAGAGAGAGAAACATCGATGTGAAAGGGACACATCGACTGACTGGTCGCCACCTGCACAACCCAACCAAGGGCCAGGGACAAACTGCAACTGAGGTACGTGCCCTTAGCGGGAACCGAACCCGGGTCTCTCTAGTCTGCGGGCCGACACTCTAACTGCTGAGCCAAACCGGCCAGGGAAGAACTGGTTTGCTTTTTGGCATAAACCCTTTGAATTTTTGATTCTTTAATTTTTTTTTTTTTTTTTTACGTGGCCTACTTAACCTTTTGTAAGAAAAAAAAGAGAAAGATAGTAAGACAATATTTTGGTTTGTTAATGAAATGCACAGGGCTCGTCAGAGCTCACGACAGAACTGTTGTTTAAGGAAGTCCTGCTGCTCTTGGAGTCTGGGCTGTTGTTTTCCCTGGAGGCGACGGAAGGCTGAACGCAGGCTTGTTCGCCGCAGCCTGTGCTGAGGTCCTTGGGGACGCAAGGTGGCCCTTTTGAGCATGGGGTGCAGAAGCCTTTCTGGACTTTGATATGTCTGAGGAAGGAAGACACAAGCCACGGCCAGGCGCATGCAGTGAGGTCTGAGTTAGTTACCTTGGGGGTGTTTCCATCTTGCCGTAAAATGTTAATGGAAATTGTTTGCAGCATACCTCTTCCCTGGGCAGCTTGTTTCAAAGGGGTATTTGCCTCATCTCAGGTCTTTCGTGGAGTTTTATGTGTAACTACTATGTAATTATTCCACCATGGGAGCAGAACACCTGTGTAGTGTTGCATTTTAGACCGATGTCTGTTTTATGAATGAAGCCGTGACGAAAGTCTCCTTTACCTTTTAAAAATGTTATGATTTTTAAAGTATGATTTATTTTGATTATGGAATAAACACACGAATGAGAAAAAAATTAAAAAAAAAAAAAAGACCCGGATGGAGGGGAAACCATGTCCAGTGTAGATTTTATTTGGCAAATCGCCCTGCGTGTGCCGAAGATGAGCCCCCTGAAAGAAAACCCGCTAAAATTCTGAATTTTCAGTCTGGCCAATGAAGGTCCATCCAAAACCCCAAGCCCCTAGTTTCTGCTATGACTGCAAAGATCCAAGACTAGGAAGAGGACCATCGCAGACTGAGCGCTTCCGGCACGCTGCGCCTCCAGCCAGCCGCCTCGACCTCCCAATTCCCAGGGGTGGGGCTCAAGATCGACAGGGGCTCTTCCCCAGCCTCCCTTTCTTTCTTTTTTCTTTTTTTTCAATCCTCATCCGAGGACCTTTTCATTTTTTGTTCAGATAGAGTTGGAGGGAGGGAGGGAGAGAGAGAAACATCAACGTGAAAGGGACACATCGAGTAGTTGCCACCCGCACGACCAACCAGGGCCGGGGACAAACTGCAACCGAAGTACATGCCCCTAGCGGGAACCGAAGCCGGGTCTCTCAGGACCGCAGGCTGACGCTCTAACTGCTAAGCCAAACCGGCCAGGGCTCCCCAGCCCCCCTTTCCATGGGCTCAGATTGGGAGTCCATCTCTACCTCACGGTGAGAGCCCCACAGGAACGCCTAGGGTGACAACAGGGCTCCACGTTGGCGACAGCCCCGCCCCCACTTCCACGCTCCTTTACAAAGTACCTCATCTCTGTCCTGGGCCATGCGCTTACCACATCTGCACTTGCCCGGTTGCATTCTTTCTTTTTCCTACGTAAATTTTTTTTTTTTGGTGATGGAATACCCCGTCGATGCTGTTCTACAGTCGACAGAACATTTTTGCTTGAGGAAATGGAGCACCACCCCCGTAGAAGCTCCCTACACCAGGTCCCACCAGGTACACACTGCCCTCTTCCTGCGTGTGCTTCCGGGGGGGGGGGGCACAGAGACCTGGGCTGGCAGTGGGAGTGGACAAGGGATGGCTGTCTTCTCATCACCATGAGCATCTAAGCCCCAGGGAACCCAAGGTGGGCGGCCCCTCAGGCTAAGGCTGTGAATGGGAGTCCCCGCGACGCTAGAAGCTCACAGGGCTGGTGGGCACAGCCTGCTCTGCGCCCCCAGTGGGCTAACTATTGCGAAGTGTGCAAGCCCTGGACCCAGCATCTGCAGTCCCACCAGGTCAACCTCCGTCCCAACCAGCCCAGTGTTCCCAAGCTTGCCCTGCCAAATGTCACACCCTCTTCCTTTTCATGTGTCTTCGTTTCCAAGGTCTGCTCTGCTAGAAATTCCCTTCTTGTTGCCCAGCAAACTCTTGCTCATCCTTGAAAGCCCATTCTTCCACCTCCTCCTCCAGGAAGCCCTCTCCTCCGCCTAGTTGGAGGGGATCACTCCCTCCTTCTTGCTGGTCCCTCTCTGGCTTTGAGCCTGAGGGTTTGCTGGTGGTGCAGCTATGGGCAGTACCCCTGGTTCCCCCACCCTGGACCCAGCTCCCAAAGCCAGGCCCCCCACAGCTCTCTGTTGCCTGCTGGCTGAGCTGGTCAGCCAGGCCCATCAACAACCATCTGCAATCCCACTGATTCCTTGGGGTGCTGGGACTCAACCCCGAGCTGGTTCACAGGTGAATGCGCTGGGTCTCCCTGGGCCTTGGCCTCCCTGCAGAAGGGCTTATGGAACAGCTGTTGCTGTCCATCTTGGGGCCCACCCCTAGGTAGGAGGGCAGGCCGATAACCCAATGGCCAGGCTACTGTAACAGGACAGGACCCTGACCCGGAAAGGCCCAGGGAGTCTGGTGGCTGTGGCTTGGCCTGCACCGCCCCGGGTGTTTGCATGGTCGTTGGGCAGGGGCCAGACCTCACAAGCTCGTGCTCTGGGCCCTCCCTAGTGGCTGGGCAGGCTGACCTCACCTCAAGATGGCAGTTCAGGGAGTCTGGCCCCACCTCGGCCTCAAACGTCAGCAACTCAGCTCAGCAAGCAGCCTGGTTCTTGGGTAGACTGGCAGCTAGCCCAGTCCCCTGGGTGCGGGTGTCCTGCACTTCCCAGAGGGACCCCTCCCATACTGTCTCAGGCCAGGACATCTGGGCTGCCAACCACCCTAGACAAGACAGCTCACCGGGCGAGGGATGGCAGCCAGGCACACAACAGAGTTTGGAAGATCCAACAGCATCTCTATATACCAGGGTGTACAGGTGAGAGCTTTGAGGGGCCCTCCTTGTCTGTAGCTCACAGAAGGGTTAGCCGGCCAGGGGGGTGGTTCAAGGGTGCCCAGAAGGTTAGAAGGCCAGATTGGGGGCACCAGGTTTCAGAGGGAGGCCTGGGAAGGCCCCAGGGAGTCAGGGTCCATGTGATCACTGGCTGGGGGCCGGCTGTGTCCTGTGGGCTTTAAATCGTGCAGAAGGGGCCTGTTTCATGGCGCTTGGGTCTTCGCACGCCCTGGATGACCACGCCAGGCGCCGAGGGGAAGCGGGAGTTAAAGCAATCCTCCACGTCGTAGGCGGCGGGGCCGGGGGTGCGGGCTGCAGAGGGAGAGGGTGGGAGCCAGCCGCTGCCCAGCACCCCACCTCCCCCGGCCCCCTGCAGCCCTGGCCTCCCTCCCCGAGGTCTCCTTACAGTCGCTGACCCAGGAGCCAAACGCGGGCGAGCGGCTCAGGGAGAAGGCCGGCGCGCGCGGGCTCCGCAGGCGGTACCCGGGAAGGATGTCGTAGGTGTCCGGGCTGGGGTGCTCCTTGCCCAGGGCCGACAGAGGGCCCTGCAACGGGGGCCGGGCACGGTGACGTACACCCCAAGCCCCCGGCAGACACGGACCCACGTATGGCTCGGCGGTCTTGGGGACGGGGCGGCGGCCCCGCAAGCTGCAGGCGGGTAAGGCGGGGCCGCCGGGCGGACCATAGTCGGCGGGCGATGGCCACTGTGGGAAGGACGCTGAGAAGACCCGCCCCCCGAGCCGCAGGCCCCGCCCCAGCCCAACAGGCCCCTCCCCCAGGCCCCATCCTTGCAGCCCCGCCCCTTTCCACAGGCCCCCTCCTTCGCAGCTCCGCCCCTTTCCACAGGCCCCTCCTGGCCCCTCCCTCGGAGCCCCGCCCCTTTTCACAGGCCCCCCTCCTGGCCCCTCCCTCGGAGCCCCGCCCCTTTCCACAGGCCCCCTCCTGGCCCCTCCTTCGCAGCCCCGCCCCTTTCCACAGGCCCCCTCCTGGCCCCTCCCTCGGAGCCCCGCCCCTTTTCACAGGCCCCCCTCCTGGCCCCTCCCTCGGAGCCCCGCCCCTTTCCACTGGCCCCCTCCTGGCCCCTCCCTCGGAGCCCCGCCCCTTTCCACAGGCCCCCTCCTGGCCCCTCCCTCTCGGCCCCGCCCCTCTCCACAGGCCCGGCCCCCGCAGCCCTTTTTGGTCCCCCCTGCACCTTTTTCTCCCGGCCGAAGTCGGCTTTCTGCGTAAAGGGGCTTTCGCTCTGGAACCACAGCGTCTGCCACGCCCTGCGGCCACCGCCCTCTGCAGTGGGGGCAGTGTCATTGGGGAGGGCAGGCTCGGGGCGCGGCCTCACTGCCGGCCGCGGTGGGGGTGCACAGGGAGGGGCACACACCGTGGACCGGGAGCTTGCAGCCGATGCTGAAGTGGGGGTGCGGGGAGGATTCGCGCACTGAAGCATCGGGCACCTGATACTTGGTGGGGCCCGGGGAGTCCAGGTCGATCAAGATGGGGGGTCGTCGCTCCAACCCTGGCAGAAAGCAAGCTCTGGGCCTGGGTCCTCCCCAGCAGGTCCCTCCCGCCCCTGCCCTGCCTCCCCAGAGTAGACTAGGGGCCCCCACTCACACAGCTCCTTCAGGTTCCGGGTGTAGATCGGCCAGGACCCCTGGAGAGGGCTCATGTACATCCTGAGGACCCCTGAGAACTCCTGCACCCCTGAACGCAACATCTCCTCCCAGGCCTCCCCCTGGCTCGGGCTCAACAATACTGCAGCCTTGAACCTGCAAGAGAGGACAGCCTCGGTCCACCCAGGCTGCTGGCCGCCCCATGGAGCTGCCCCCACCCCCACCCCCGTCCTCCGAAGTTACTGGGCCGGCAACTTTGGCCTCAGGCTGCCATGGGTCCAGTGTTTGCCTCCATTGATGTAAAAGTTAGCCAGGAATTTCACAGCCTTCTGGTCAAAATTCATTGTCAGTGTGTATAGCTGCCTTCCATGGGGACACCACGAGGTTCTGTGACCTCACTGGCCCATCATGCCCCTCCCCCCGTTGCTGGGAATTCTGGGGGAAGACCACGGTCCAGCCCTGCAGGGGCTCTGGCAGTAAGATTTCTCCCCTGACCTGCCAGGTGGGCCACCGTGGGTCATCTTGCCCAGGAGGATCCCTAGCCTGCCTGGGTCCTGGCTCAGTCTCCTTTCCCTCCTGTTCCTCTTCCTGGCCCCAACCTTTCTCCTGTCCTGGACTTTGGGGGTCCATTCTCACAGGGATTCTGGGAGGACTGACACCTGGCGGAAAGTAGAAAAGGGGGTGGGTGTTCTGCAATGCCCCGCTGGAAGGAAGCATCAGGGTAGGATGGAAGGTTCAGGGAGGAGCCCCCGCTGGAAATCCAACCTTCGGAAAAGCAAAGCAAGGGCAGATGGGTCTGAGTGGGCTGTGCTGACCCTAGAGAGAGGCCTGGCCCTGGAGTGCCTGGTGGCCCTGGCAGGGCTGAGGGGTGGGAGCCTGCATTCTGCTTGGGGGCACAGAGGCCAGAAAGTGTCCCAGTTGGTCAGGAGTGCCCAGGCCAAAGTACAAAAGAAGAATGAGCCCAATGGAGCGGGAGCCCGTCTGGGCACCAGGGCCCTCAACGTGCGCTCCGAGGTTTGTCAGCTTGCCAGGCCCAGGCCCGGCCTTGATCTGATCCACCGGCTGGACCTGGTCAAGAACATCTCATCCTGGGCTCTGCCCACCCTGAGCGAGTCTCTTCCTGTCCGGATTCCTGTCACCCAGCACTGACCCTGCCTGGCCTTGGGAGGCATAGCAGCAGGTGGACAGATGGGGACTCGCTTGAAGAAACCGTTTTTAACGGGGTGAGGAGCTCACAGCCAGTGCTCTGGGGCCCTTCTGTGTCGTACCGTGTTCTCTGAGGGCAAAAATGGCAGCGGCTACAGATGCAGTTTTGTGAGCAGAGCCCTCAAACTCGGACATTTCGGCCAGCTCTGATTTCTGGCTAACAACTATCGCCATGATGGAGGACATGGCACGTATGTTTCAGCCGAACATCTATCCTTGCCTTCGGAGAGATTCCTAGGCGTGGAAGCGAGGAGTCAAAGCGTAACATCTCGTATGGAATTAATCTGTATTCCCGAATTGCTGTGCAGACAGCATCTACCAAAGCAGGGGTTATGCTCGGTCCCCCTGCGCAGTGAGCCTCAGAAACTGCCATTGTCAGAATTTACTTATTAAATTCAACCTTCTGTTCGTATTTTTCTTGACTACTTATTTTTCTTAAGATGCTCACACTTTGTATGCACTTTTCTGTTGGGGTGCTAATTTGCCCCATTTTCGTCAGGTAAGGAGTTTTTAAACCGATATCCTGTGTGTGTGTGATGCTTGTTGTAAATTCTGGTCCAGCTTGGAGTCTGCCTCTGGCATTGTTTCCGCTGCTTGTTGGACATGTACTTGAACCTGCTCATCTTTTCCTTTATGATATTTTGTTTGTATGGTTAGAAAGTCCTTCCTTACGAAAAGAAAAAAGCAGGATCTGTTTAAAATGCAAAATAGTGCCAAGCTCCAGGGAAAAGACCTTCCCACGTCACTGTGGGGGCTTGTCACCATGCCTCTGAAGCCTCCGGGCCTCTGGTCTGAGAAGGGGACCTGGGGTGCATGGAGGCTCCCTTAGCCTCACTCTGGGGGGTGCTGGCCTCCTGGGGGTAATCCTGGCCACACTCTCTGGCAGGACCAACTTGGGACATGGCTGATGCCTCAGGACATGGCTGATGCCCTGAGGTCCTCAGTGTCACACTTCCCAAGCTGCTGCCTGTCTGGCCTTGGTGTCCCACCTATGACATGGGAGCACCTCACAAGTACAGGATGGGCCTGGCCCAGGTGGTGCCCAGCAATGGGGCTTCTTCACAATGGTTGCCAGGCAGTAGACTCCTCTCAGGGAAGGGAGCCAGGCCGGGGGAAAGGAGCCAGGCCAGAGGAAGGGGCTACCTGGCAAAGGTGCAGTTGAGGCATGATGACAGCTACTCAGAAACACAACCTCTTCACGCCCGAGCCTCACTATGTCCCTGGGTAAGCGCTGGGTCCCCGCAGGGACGCTGGGGGAGCGGGCTCAGGCCAGTCGTGAGGGGCACCCCAGAGCTGGTCTCCAGGAAGGGGCCCAGACCTACCCTACCCACGGCAGGGCAAGTGTCGTGCCAGGTGGGCGGTATGTCGAGAGCAGACAACCGGGCAGAGCCCAGCAGCTGGTGGAGGCTGGAGGAAGAAGCGCCCGATGCCAGCCCCACAGTGTTCCCCGCTCTAAAGACCAGATAAGCATCCGGAGTAAACTGATCGGCACAGATGCCAGGCTGCCTCACTAGGTAGCCCCCCTGTAAAACATAACCAGGCCCTCCGTGGAGGGTGTGTGCGCGCCTACCTCCCAGACAGAGCCATGTGAGCCAGACCTAACTTCACAGTGGTTCTGGGGGAAAAGGTGGGACAAGAGAGACAGAAGAGGGGGGCTCTGAACCCCCACACCCTCCGGGGCCCTCACAAGATGCCCACACACCTCCTGACTGGCTAAGTGCCACTTAGTTCAACCAACACTTCCACCGGCTGCCCTCCCGCCTGCCTCCCAAGTCCTGGTCCCATTCACTGGCTACTGGCCTCCTGGTGGCAAAGTCTGAGCCAGGTCTCTGACAAGCCTTCCAGTGGTATCACCTTGTGTACAATAGGCCTCCAGGTGCCTGGGCCCGGACCTTGTCACCAGCCCCATAAATGCTTCCAGGCGCTCTGCTGTTCTGTCATCTTTAAGTCCCTCGCTGGCGTTGGATGGCTGGGTAGGGACTTGGGGGGCGGGGGAGGCCATCCGATGGTGGCGGTGACAACCCAAGCCCTCAGTGCTTGGCATGTGCTGCCCATTCAACCCTCGACAGCCCCAGAAGCCAGTGTCACTCACTCTCCATTCTGTGGTTGAGGTCGGGTACCTGGCCTGGGAGGGGCAGGCTGGATCCTGCCCTCGCCCACAGGCCCTGCCTCCTCCTCCTCTTCCGTCCGCAGGTATGCTGGCTTCTACCCACAGCTGCGCTACCAGGTGGGGAACACCTATGGGCGCACCACAGCACAGCTGCTCACAGACCCCAGCGTGCAGAAGAGTCCGTGCTCGGTGCTGTCCCCGATATCCAAGCCCAAGTTCATTGAGGACTTCAGCAAGTCCAAGCCACCTTTGGTGCCCTGCCGAGACCTGATGGAGCCCTACATCCCCCACTACACGGGTGAGCTTCAGCCCCTCTGCTCACCTGCCCTGCCCTGCCCCTGCCTCCTGCCCACGGTTGCTCACGGCTGCCCCGTCCATACAGGTCTGAAGCCCTACAAGAACTTTGAGATCCTGGGACGGTTCTCACCCCAGGAGGTGGATGCTGGAGATCGACTAGGGGTCGAGAATGTATCCAGGCATGTCCCACTGCCTGCAGGCTTCATGCCCTACCCTCCCTACCCCCCGTGCCCGCCAGGCAGCAAGGGGGACTCCAGGGACCTTGGACATCCGGGCCTGCGGCTGGCATACGGGGAGGAGGGCTGGACGAGAACCACCCCTGTCCACGAGGCCCCTGGGCGGTACCAGGTAACTGGGAGGCACCCTGGGACCAGCCTCACCCCAGCTAGACCCAAGTGGTGTGTGGGGGGTAACCTGCCCCCTTCCTGTCCCAGCTGTACCACTGCAGGAGGGATGAGTACCCACCCCCAGCTCTCCAGCAGGAGACACTAGATGTAGGCAGGTTCCAAAGGCTGCCCCAGCTGGACCACCCCAACCTGATTCAACGAAAGGCCATCTCAGGTGGGTGCCGAGGCCGGGGTGGGAGATGGACACCCTCCGAGGCCCCCGAGGCCCAGGGTCCCAGGCAGGATGAGGGTGAAAGCAAGTGAGGGCTGCCCACAGGCCTTCCCCTTCCGGAGTCCACCTTCCCCTTCTGCCTGCCAGCCCACGGCCACCTGGGCCCACAGGCCGTTGCCACTAGTTTCCAACTAGGGGAGGAAAGGAGCCTGAACAGACTTCCCACACCACCAGGAGGTGGGTGGTGGAGGGGACCTAGGGTGGCAGCCCCCGGACCTCTTCCTCCCCAGGATATGCTGGCTTCATCCCCCGGTTTGCCTGGGTGATGGGGGTGAACTACCGCACCGGGGTCACACAGGCCATGGATGAGTTTGACAAAAGCCAGGTAGGAGAACGTCATCCTTGGGGCTACTCCCAGGTGCCCAGCAGGGTCCACAGAAGTCTCCAGGTGTCTGAGCAGGCAGAACAGAGGCTCTCCTCTCCCCTCCCCCTCCGCAGCCTAGTGGGGAAACAGCCTAGTGGGGAAAGAAGACCCCACCCCAGCATTAACCACTTCAGAGAATGCCAGCCCCACCCCTGCCCGTCTCTGCCCGCCAGTCTGCCGCCAGTCAGCAGGTGGAGGCAGCGCACTCACACCTGTCCCTTCCCCAGTTCCTGTTTAGAAACCCCATCTGCGCCCTGGGTGAGCGGCTGCCCCAAACGTACTGGCCCAGCAACACCATCTACAACAGCCAGGGCCTGGTGCCCTTCTACACGGGGTTCATTCCGAGTGAGTGCAGGGACGCTTGGGGAGGGCCAAGTGGCTGGGGCCCCCACAGATGCTGCTCCACAGACACAGGGCTCGCAGTATGCCCCGGGGTCCCTGAGGCAGGACGGCCCAACATCCCCTCCCGTGCGGAATGGGCCGAGGACCTTTGGTACAGTCAGGCAGAGACCAGCTGCCTCCACTGACGTTGGCTCTCGGGGTTGAGTGGGCAGGCTAGGTCTGCCTCAGGAGGCTGGTGCCCAGGGCAGCCACGGCCACCTCAGAGCCTGTGTTGACACCCCCCACCCTCTGCCAGCAGCCACTGGCCCATGACAAGTGCAGCTCAGCTGCGGCATTACCCCTTGCAGCCATGCAGGACCAATTCGGACTGACGTTCGGCAACAGCAGCCGCAAGGCCTATCAGAAGGAACTGGAGAGGAGAAACCAGACACTATGAAAACGCTTTAATGGTGTCTGTACAGCAGAGGACAGCGACAGGAGAGGAGCAGGTGTGCAGTGAGACAGGGCCACAGAGAACAGAGTGAGGGAATAAAGAGTTCTCACGGCTCCCACGCTTCCGGTACCGGGCGGCTCTAGGCCACCTCCTCCTCCGCCTCCTCCTCAAACTCGCCCTCCTCCTCGGCCGTGGCGTCCTGGTACTGCTGGTACTCGGACACCAGGTCGTTCATGTTGCTCTCGGCCTCGGTGAACTCCATCTCGTCCATGCCCTCGCCCGTGTACCAGTGCAGGAAGGCCTTGCGCCGGAACATGGCTGTGAACTGCTCCGAGATGCGCTTGAACAGCTCCTGGATGGCCGTGCTGTTGCCGATAAAAGTGGCCGACATCTTTAGCCCCCGGGGTGGGATGTCACAGACAGCCGTTTTCACATTGTTGGGGATCCACTCGACAAAATAGCTGCTGTTCTTGTTCTGGACGTTAAGCATCTGCTCGTCCACTTCCTTCATGGACATGCGGCCTCTGAAAACGGCAGCCACGGTCAGGTAGCGGCCGTGGCGGGGGTCACAGGCGGCCATCATGTTCTTGGCGTCAAACATCTGCTGGGTGAGCTCGGGCACCGTCAGGGCCCGGTACTGCTGGCTGCCCCGGCTGGTGAGGGGGGCGAAGCCAGGCATGAAGAAGTGCAGGCGGGGGAAGGGCACCATGTTGACAGCCAGCTTGCGCAGGTCAGCATTGAGCTGGCCAGGGAAGCGCAGGCAGGTGGTGACCCCACTCATGGTGGCCGACACCAGGTGGTTCAGATCACCGTAGGTGGGTGTGGTCAGCTTTAGGGTTCTGAAGCAGATATCATAGAGGGCCTCGTTATCTATGCAATAGGTTTCGTCTGTGTTTTCTACCAGCTGGTGGACGGAGAGGGTGGCATTGTAGGGCTCCACCACTGTGTCCGACACCTTGGGCGAGGGCACCACACTGAAGGTGTTCATGATCCTGTCCGGATACTCCTCCCTGATCTTGCTGATGAGGAGGGTACCCATCCCAGACCCAGTCCCCCCACCCAGGGAGTGGGTCAGCTGGAAGCCCTGCAGGCAGTCACAGCTCTCGGCCTCCTTCCTCACGACGTCCAGCACCGAGTCGACCAGCTCCGCACCTTCCGTGTAGTGCCCCTTGGCCCAGTTGTTCCCAGCACCGCTCTGACCTGCAAGAGAGTGCAGCTGGTCACTCTTTGGCCAGGCACGTGTCACCGCTAATTACCGGGCCAAAAAAAGCCAAATAAACCTGGTGTGAGATGACACAGAGCTCACCCTGCAGGTAAAGCAAACAAACTCCCAAGTAAAGCAGCAACCTGCCCAGTTAAAAACTATGTTAGGGGCTGAGCCGAGATGGCTTAACAATAAGCCAGCCCCTCCCACAGCAGCCCCTGCCAATTCCCAAGGACAGATGAGCCGCCGCCACTGCGTTCACTGCGGAGAGATTACATCGCCACTCCTCCCCTGATCGGACAGCTGGGCCTTCCTCCCAAAGCTGCTTTAAGAGACGGATTGAGTGACTTGCAGGGGGGGGAGAGTGTCCAGCCAGGGGCCCTAGCTCCTGCTCAAGGTACACTGGATCAGGACTTGGTGTCTGCGGTCCTGAGGGGGGTGACCTTGGGCACCCCTTGACCTTTCCGTCGTCCTGGCTAACAGACCCCACCCAGTCCCCAACCGCAGCTCACCAAAGACGAAGTTGTCCGGCCTGAAGATCTGCCCGAAGGGCCCCGAGCGCACGGAGTCCATGGTGCCCGGCTCCAGGTCCACGAGCACGGCGCGGGGTACATACTTGCCACCTGGAGGGGCGACAGGGCGTCAGCGAGGAGCTGGCCGCCGGGCGGCGGGGGGGTGGGCAGGGGACGCGAGGTCTCACCAGTGGCCTCGTTGTAGTACACGTTGATCCGCTCCAGCTGCAGGTCGCTGTCCCCGTGGTAAGTGCCCGTAGGGTCGATGCCGTGCTCATCGCTTATCACTTCCCAGAACTGCCAGAGACGCGGGCGGGCCGGGGCTGAGTCACGCCGGCGGGGGCCGGGGCCGGCTCCGCCCCGGACGGGCGCGGCCTCCTCTCCACTCCCCCCGTCCGCCCCCCTGCTGTGGGGCCGGTCCCCGGGGGCCGGTGCGGACGCCCCCACCCGGGCTCCCGCCCCGCACGGAGCCGCAATGCGGGGGGCGCCGCCCGCCCGCCGCCATCTTTCTTGTCCGCCCGCCCGCCCGGGAGGCCCACCCGCGCAGGGTCCCCGACGCCCCACCGCCTACCTTAGCGCCGATCTGGTTGCCGCACTGGCCGGCCTGCAGGTGCACGATCTCCCTCATGGCGGCGGCGGCGCAGGCGAGAAGACGGAAGTGAATACGGAGCAGCGAGCGCGCAGAATGCTACAACCGACGCTCCGCCAACGTTTATATAGCCGTCGCGCCCGCCTCCGCCAGCTTCCTATTGGGCTGCCAGAACGAGGCTGGCAAGCGGCCTCGTTTGATTGACTCCAGCCCCGTCAATCGAACTACCTAACGCCCGCCTTCCCAACTCCTTTCGCTGTTTATTGGCCAGTCGCGGCCTCCGCTCTCGCTATCAAAGTACCCCCCGTCGCGCTGCGGTGCTCAGTCCATTGGGTGTTTCAAATGATTGATTTGTTACCTCATTGGCTGGCTCCGGAGAGCACGCCGATAGGCTGACACTATTGGCTATGCGGGGCCAGCGTCCTGGTAACCGCCGCAGTGCCTCGGGCGCGCGCGGGTTCTGCGGGCGCGCGCGGGCCCCGCGGTAGAATCGGCGCAGATGCGAGTGGGAACCTGGGGAAATACGGACAGGGCGGCGGCCCGGCGGCCCGGCGGCCCCGGTGGGCAAGCGCCTTCTGGAGCGCCGCTGCCTCGGGCCGCCGCGAAACAGGGGCGCGCGCGGTCCGAGCCACCTTGCGGGGTCTCGGAGCAGAGGAGGGGCGCGAAGCCGTTCACAGCAGAGAAAACTGGGCTCGGGTGCCTAGGTGCGGCGGGGCGGCGGCCGGGGGCTGTCGGTGGAGTAGGGGCCCTCCCACAAACCGCACTGGGCCTGGGCTCCTTGAGCCGTTTGCCCGCGGGGGCGGCGGTCAGGTGAGGGAGCACGTGCGCCGCTGCGCCAGGGCGGGAGCTGGGGACCGGGAGGGCAGGGCGGGTCCCTGCTGGGCAGCCCCGAGCTTGTTGTGGAGACGGAGCTGGCGCGCCTCCCGTCGCCTTGGTGCCTCGGCCCAGCGCAGCGCAGCTCCGTGGAGACGAGGGCGGTGCCCAGACCTCCCCGGGCGCAGGCGGCGGACCTCGAGCCTCCCAGCTCTGTTGCACCGACTGAGCTAGGCAGTTAGACGCAGGAGAGCAGAGAGGAGAGGCCAGGTACAGATCACCGGGGCGGAAAGCTCCGGTTACCTAGCAATGGGTAAAACGCAAAACAAGGACCTGGCCCCCAGAGTCACCTTTCCTCCGGTCGCACACTGCTGGTCATGCGGTTTAGAACCCCTGACCTTTCATGTTGTTGGTCACGCTGTTCAGGCCCTTTCCCGACCTTTCCTTCCCCTGGCATGTTGCTAGTCATGCAGGTCAAACCCCCTTAAAGGAGCCAGAGAATAGCCCGTAAACATGAAGCACCCAGGCCAGCGAGGTTCTAACCCATATCAGATACATCGGAGACCTCAGTTGTGTTTCAGCTCCAGGCCCAGAAAAGCCGCAAAACCAGACCGGCGATGGCTTGGCTGACATCAGGACCAGCTGCTATGACTAATGAACCCCTGCCCTGGCCCCACCAATCAGTAGAGACCATGACCCTGAAAGGACACACCTGGAAAACTGATGAATATTCCATTGAGATCCACCCCTGGGACCTTCCCTAAAATCCCCACCCCTAAAAGCCCTTAGGATAAAGGACCCAGCCCAGCCTTTCCCTTCTTCCTTTTCTCCCCCCCAAGGTGCCTTACCTTTACCCGCCTCTCTCCTAAGCTCCAGGGCCCTTCTTTTGCCTCTGTAACCTGTTTCCTGAGCCTCTGTCTTCTGTGGCTCACTTCTACCTCTGCAACTTTCTAAATAAACATTCTGTTATAGTTTGAGTTTGGGCTCTGAATTCTTTTTCAGCCAGAACTCCAGTACTGAGGACGGTGAACCAAGGTCTGGTCTGACTCCAATCACCAGTGACATTCTGGTGCCGTTTTCGCCACCAACACAACCTCGGATCAGCATGACGGGCTGACGGATGCCCTTACTTTTTACCTGCTTATGTTGGAGGGGGGAGCAAAACTTATGAAGGAAAAAAGTTAAATTGCATTATGGTCACACCTTTATTTTTATTTTTTAAATCCTCACCCGAGGACATTTTTCCATTTTTTGTTCAGATAGAGTGGGAGGGGGAGAGAGAGAGAGAGAGAAACATCGATGTGAAAGGGACACATCGAGTGGCTGCCACCCATGCGACCAACCAGGGCCGGGGACAAACTGCAACCAGGGTACATGCCCTTAGCGGGAACCGAACCACGGTCTCTCTGGACCGCAGGCTGATGCTCTAACCGCTGAGCCAAACCGGCCAGGGCGGTCGCACCTTTAATATATTACCTTAACAACAGTACAGTTGCATTATATTTTCGTAACATTGAAAAAGGATAGCTCACACCCTTAGGTTGGCCCTGGACAGTCTTCCTGGTGGTGGCCACTGGGGCTCTGGATTCTGCTTTACCCTCCTTTGTCCCCCAACATGAGGATGTTGGGCAATCCTTGTTGCTCCTCTTTCTGGAGGGAGTGAGCTCTCTCGGCCTGTGGTACACATACCAGGCAGGGTATTGTGGCATACTGTGGCATTACAACCTGTCACTACAGCAACGGTTCCTCTGTGGGTAAGCTGTTGGGACAGGCAGCACGCTGGGTACAGATTAGCCTTCGCATCCTCGAGAGTGGTCTGCAGCTGGCTCAGGATTGCAGTCACCACGTCCAAGTGGGGGTCAGGCCCAGTAGGGCCTCTGGAACCAGGCCTGGCCCTACACACCAGCCAGGAAGGTGGGCCTGGCTTCTGTTGACCACAGGTCATGGCATACGGGGTGTGCTGGGTCACTGCCTGGCATCCTGGGCCCTCACAGTGTCCTGCAAAGTAGCTAGCTTAACTGCCCAAGCAGCTGCGGCCCACAGGGCTGGCAGTTCAGTATGGCACCCCCACTTTAGGGGAGCAAAATAGTGGTTGTGTCACCTGCCCAGGTGTGAGCCCCAGAGCCCTTTGAGGCTCCAGGTTGTCCACCTTGCCCCTCCCATTGCCCCGTTGAGGTGACATTGGGTGGCAACACTCACAGCAGGACCCTCCTGTGCTCCTTGGGCCTCAGCCTAAAAGGATTATGGGTGCTGGGTGGGGGAGGCCCTGCAGGTCCCCACCCTCAGCGCCCGTGGGGCCTGTGGCCAGGTGGGAGGCAGGCCGAGAAGGCGCAGGGAAGCCCAGGCAGGGCGTGGGAGTGCTGGGCGCCTGGCCCTCCCACCGCAGCCTGCAGCTGTTGGCAAGGCCCACAAGGATGGCTTTGTTTACTGGTGGCCATGGTCCCAGCGGGAGGGTGTGTTACCTCTAAGCTGGGCAGCAGGCAGACAGTCATTTGTGGCCTCAAAGGACCTGGCGGTCAGCCTTTGTGGGCGGCCTTACCCGCCCCGGAAGGAGAGGTGCATGGGGTCCTTTCTTCCCTCTCTCTGCCTCCCCAGTCTCCCCAGGGAACTGGCCAGGCCAGCCCCTCCCCAGAGGACTTCCATCAGAGGGACCATGAGGCTGTGTCCTGGGGTCACAGAAGTGGAGGAGAAGCCAAGCTGGGGTGCATAAGCCTGCTCCAGGGATCTTGCTCCCACCAGGCCCCCCATGGCTTCCAGAACAGGCTACTTCCCTTCGTGGACAGAGTGAACCCAGGCTCAGGAGGCCTAGGAGCTTATTGGGGGATGGGGACCTGGGGTGCATGAGGGACCTAAGGGGACTGGGACTGGGGTTCATGGAGGGGGGTGAGGGACTGCTGAGGGGACTGAGAAGGACCTGGGGATATGGGGAGGCAGGGTTGAAGGAACCAGAGGGGTAGAAAGAGGACTGGACCATAATTAACAATGGCTCTCCCTGGCTGGGTAGTCAAATGGTTAGAGCGTCGTTCCACTACACCAAGGTTTTGGGTTCGATGCCCAGTCAGAGCACAGACAAGAAGCAACCAATGAATGCATACAGAAGTGGAACAACAAATCAATGTTTCTCTTTCTCTCTTCCTTCCTCTCTCTAAAATCAATAAATTAAAAACATACAGTGGAAAAGTAACACTGGGCCCTGGGCTGCCCCCCATCTTCCTGACCATCCCTACCTCTCCCAGTCTACCCTGGACTGGGAGCCGGCCCCCGCTCCAGCCGCTGACTGAGTTGTACCGGCCCAGTCCTGCAGGGCCTCTCTGGCCCCTCTCAGTGCAGGAGTTCTGGGTGAATTCAGGGAAGCTTCCTTTTCCCCTTGGGGGCCTGGGGGTCAGACTGGGGTTGTGGGTAGCCCTAGGCTGGAGGGGCAGGAGGCCCAGGCCGTCTCCCTGGTGTCTGGTTACCGGCTGGCCTGCAGACAAACCTTCCTGTGTGGAAACCCGACTCGCCAGGGCGGGGGGAGCACAGCCCCCTCCCTGCAGGTGCCACCCCCAGGTGAGGGGACAGCGCTCAGCTTCACCCTTCCTCACCTGGCGGGAGGCCTTTCCCTGCCTCGCCCGGGAGAGGCGGGGCTCGCGAGGGGGCTCCAGGTGCGGGTGGCGCCTGAGGGGGTGCAGCGCCCGCTTCCTGGTAGGTCTCCGGGGCTGAGCAGCCCTGGCGGTCCAAGGCAGGCTAGGGGAAACCGAGCGCAGGTCCCCCGCCCCGCTGCCCTGCCCGCAGCCCTGCTCCCCTCGCAGCCTGGCGCCCTGCCCGGCCTGGGGAGAGGGGAAAGCAGAACGGGGGAGGGGCAGACGAGCCGCCTCGGGGCCACCCGTCCTTACCGGGTCCCCATCTCACTCCCCCACACACCTGTGGGGCTGGGAGCCTCGGCACAGCTGTGCGGAGCCCTCGGGCCGCGGCTGCAGTCGGGCTGGGGTGGAAGGGCTGCCCGGCCCGCGCCGTGTCCGCGCGCAATCTCCGGGAGGCGAGGCGTGGGGACCGGCCGCTCCTCCCGGCACCCTCCAGGAAGGGCCTGGCCGCGCCAGCCTCCCCGGACCCCAGATTTCTGCTTCAGGAAGACTCCATGCTCCGGCCGCGGAGAGAGTCCCAGCCGGGGCCGGGGGGTCGTCTGTGCCCACTCCCGCGGGGTCGGTCAGCTCCCACGCAGGCTCGCCGCGCCCCCGAGTGTCCGCTAGGGGGCAACCGGCAGCTACTCCAACCCCGGGGCAGAGGGTAGGGGGATCGACGGGCACTGCCCGTCGGGAGTGAAGACCACCCACGTCTGGGCCACAGCTTTGTTTATTTGCTAAGAAGGGGAGCCCGCTGGCTCAAGTCCACTGCTCCTGGGATCCCCGAGGGCACCCAGAGCTCAGTGCGCGTGGGGGGACACCCGCTCCTCACAGCTGCTGGGAAGCCAGGATCTCGGGGTTCTCGTAGCAGTGGGCCTCCTTGGTGGCGGCGGGAGGGGGGCTGCAGGCCCTGCAGGGGCAGCAGCGGCTCACAAGGCGGTCCCAGGGCTCCAGAGAGCGGAGCCAGGGGGGGAGCCAGGCCCAGGACCGCAGCGGGCGGGGCAGCCAGACCGGCCGTCGGCGCTGCAGGACGTTAATCAGGACCACGAGGAGCACCAGCGCCACCAGGGGCCCCCCGACCGCGGCCAGCACCGTGTCCCCCGCCAGGGAGAGCCCAAAGGTGGCCAGAGGCAACAGCAGGAAGCTGAGCAGTAGGTAGGCGACTGCCACCCAGCGGTAGCGGGCAGTCAGGTCTCCGAAGCGCCTGGCCAGTGGGATGGGCAGCCGCAGCAGGGGCACTGTGTACCACAGCAGAATGCCAGCCAAGTTGAAGAAGAAGTGGATGAGGGCAACCTGGAGGGTGCGAAGGCAGGCAGGGCCCCTGACATGGGGTCCCCTAGGCCCCCCAGGTTGCCTGCCCCTCCCTGCCCTGGCAGAAAGGTGGGAAGTCCAAAGCCAGTCTGGGTCCTGCTCATTGGCTGAGACAGGCCACCGGGAGGGCAGATTCTGGCCAGGCTGGGCATGCGCCTCCTGCACTGCCCCCTCATTTTTTTTGGGGGGGGGGTAACTGCATCACAGACAACTGCAGGGATCTGACTCCCTTCCCCCAGGCTGACTTAGCTTGACCCCCAGCCTAGTGATCCGGCCCCTTCTGGTCCCTCAGAGGGCTTGGTCACCCAGCCCCAGGGTCTAGCCTGGCTCCTGCAGGGAGGAGTGAGGGGCTCCAGGTGGAGGAAGCACACCCTGGTCCGGCGGCTGCTGGACTTGGGCAGTCGGTGCCTGGGTGAGGTCTGGAGGGCTTCTTGGAGGTGGAGCAGGGCCCCACACTGGGAGGGTCTGAGTGGACCGATGGGACTTAGCAAGGGCCCAGGCTTCTCTCCTCCTGAGGGCAGCAGCCCAGCAAGACCGGCTTTCGGGAGCTACACTTGTCTGGGCACCCAGGCAGAGGTGGTGGAGGAGGGACACTCAGCCCGAGCAGTGGCCCCTGGAGAATGAGCAGGACTAGGTGGGACGGGGTACAGGGCACAGAGCTGGGGGCTAGGGGGAGGTCCCTGGAGGCATGGAGTACCCAGCAGAGGTAGGCAGGCCTTTGCAGGAACATAGCGTTCATCCAGGTAGGGACCTGTTGGGTTTAGGTGATTGCTGGGGGCAGTAATATGAGGTGTGGGGCTCCAGGACCCCCAGGGCCAGGAGGCCTGGAAGGAACACAGCTAGGCACACAGGGTGGGGAGGTGAAGGGACAGAGAGAAAGGTGCAGAGGTCACCCCAGGACTGCACAAGGTTGAAGGGAAGGAGAAGTGGGACTGGGGGTCCCCGAGATGCCCACAGGGTCCCTGGGGCCCAAGGAGTTGGGGCAGCTGGCCTGAGCAAGCAGTTGGAGGTGGGTCCCAAGAAGGCTTGAGCCATGGCCAGCCTGGGGCAGGCCTCGAACTTCCTGTCTGCGGGACTGGATGCAAGGGACTGGGGCACCGGGAGGCAGGAGAGGGAGGGCAGTACCTGGAGGGCGCTGGACAGCATGTTCGAGGGGCTGGCCAGGGCAGCCAGCAGAGCTGTGGTGGTGGTGCCAATGTTGGAGCCCAGAAAGAGGGGGTAGGCCCGCTCCAGACTGATCACCCCGACCCCTGGAGGAGCCGGAGGTCACCATGGGGCCCTGAGCCCGTGTCCCAGGCCCCCGAGGCTGGGTGCCTGCCCACCACGCTCACCCATGAGGGGCACGATGGCTGCCGTGAAGACACTGCTGCTCTGGAGCACGAAGGTCAGGCCAGCGCCCACCAGGATGGCCAGGTAGCCGCTGAGCCAGCCAAACGGGAAGGGGAAGTCTGGGGGGGGAGGCTGGGTCACCCCCAGCCCAATCTCTCTGTCCCCGCCGGTGCCCCAGGCCTCGTCCTGCAGCCCCACGCACCGGCGTTGATGACCGTCCTCACCGCCTGGGCGATGCGGCCACGCAGCACGGAGTCGAGCAGCTTGACCACGAGGACCAGGCAGGCGCAGAGCACCAGCAGGGAGCCGGCCAGCAGGATGAAGCCCACGGCCAGGTCTGTGAGCGCTGTGCCCACGAACAGGTGGTGGCCTGGTGGCAGGGCGGGGAGGGTGAGCGGTGGCCCGGTGGCTGCAGGGGGGGTGGGCTGGGGGGCGGGCGCAGGGCCTCACAGGGCAGCTGCTCCGTGGTGGCTGAGCCATTGCTCTCAGGGCAGGGGCCAGAGGTGGCCGCTCCACAGTGGCTGCTGTTCCCTGGGGCCTGGGGGGACAGGCAGGGCAGGCTCAGGGCAGGCTCAGAGCCGGCAGGACTGGGTTCTTCAGCAGGTTGGAGGGCAGCGGTCAGAGGCCCCTCACCGGCTCCTTCCTGGTGCCACACCATCGCTTAATGAGGCTGCTGTTGGTGGCATTGCCCGTGGCGCTGTTGGCAATCACGTCGGCATCCAGCTGCAGACAGAGGGGTCGCGACCTGTGCTGGACTCTCAGGAACTTGCCTGGAGCTCAGACCACTGTAAGGCCCAGATCCGCCTCCTCTGTGCCCTCTGCCCAGCCAGGGTGCTTGGGCACAAGGGGCCTCCAAGGGCAGCCACTGTCCTCACCTGCACGATGAGGTGGGTGAGCGGCTGCGTCAGCACCTTGAGGATGTCAGGCGCAGCACCCCCGGGCTGTAGCCTGGCAGCTGCCAGGGCCAGGGCACTGAGCTTCTCCAGCGTGCCCATGGCGCTCTCCAGCGGCAGCAGCAGCAGCACCGTGAGCCAGTTGAAGATGCCATGCACGGCTGAGCCCCCAAAGGCCCTGCGGCCACATGGGGCGCAGTAGTGGGTGGTCTCTGCTCCACCCCCAGGGTAGTCCCAGCCCCCACCCTCCCGCCACTCACCTTCGAAACTCACCCCGGTCCCCCGACTGTGCCATAGAGACCAGGGTGCTGGTGATGGATGTGCCCACATTGACACCCATGATGATGGGCACGGATGCCCGGACGGTCAGCACTGTGGGGGAGCCACGTCAGCCTCCTGCGTCCCACCCAGCCACCACGGCCCCAGGACGGGGGGCACTCACGGTTGGAGGCCACCATGCTGACCACGATGGAGGAGGACGTGCTGGAGCTCTGCACCAGCACCGTGACCAGCACCCCGATGACCAGTCCGGCCACGGGGTTGGACAGCACCATGTTGTCCTTGAAGATGTCTCCGGCCACTTTGCCTACGCCCGGGAGAGAGGCGCGCTAGCGGGAGGCCTGGCCGCCCACCCCGGCCCTGGCCGCCCTGCCGGTCACTCACTTCCCAGCAGCTGGAAGGCGGAGCTGAGGATGTCCAGGGAGCAGATGAAGAGGTGGAGGCTACCCAGGAGCCCGCAGGCCTTGAGGACGCCGAGGAGCACCCGCCGGACCCTGCCGGCCACGCTGAGCTCTGAGGACACAGGGCAGGGGTTCCTCGGCTGCCCTAGCCTCCCTGCCCTGCCGGCCTGCCTCCTTGTCCCCCCGGCAGGGCTGGTTCCCCTCCTCTGTCCTTTTGCGGATGGCCGAGCAGACAGCCCCAGGACCTCCCAGAGCCTGGGTGCCAGCAGGAGGGAGGGACAGGGCCCGGCCCGGCGGGGCAGGCAGCTAGCGGAGGGACCAGGGTCCCGGTGGTGGGTCCCCTCCCTGCTCTCTCTCCCCACGGCCCCCGTCCATGCTCAGGCCCTGGGGACTCAGAGCCCCACTTGGCCAGTTCCCTCGACCTGCGGACCTACCTTTCCAAGACTGGCCAGTGTCCTTCAGCTGAGGGAGGGCCCAGGGATCCATGTCCCCAACTTCCAAGACGAGGGCAGAATTGGAGGTCCCTGCAGGGGTCAGGCTCAAGTAGAGCAAGGGACCTAGCTGTTCCTTGGACACCCCCAGGTGGGGGCAGGAAGGGGTGGAGGAGGACCATGGCATACGGGGTTAGGGTGAGGGACAGAAGCCAGAGTGGGAGGGAAGGGGGCCACCAGCTCATCGGGCCTGGACAGAGTTGTTATGAGCCCCCTCCCCACCTACCCAGGGCAGTGGGTCAAGGGCTGGGCCCCTGATACCTGCATTTCCTAGACTCTGGTCCACCAGGCCAACCGCGTCCAGAGTAGGGGGGTTGACCTGGCCACCAGTGACAGAATTCGGCATGGATTCCGGGCAGGGACAGACCCAGGCCCAAGCCCGGATCTGTGAAGGAAGGGCAGGTCAGGCACCTCTCTTCCTCCTGCTTGTCAGGTCCCTGCGCCCCCTAACCAGAGGCCTCAGAAGCTGTCCTCCCTCCCCATCCTCTGCTGGCCTAGATGACCTCCCCCGGCCTCTCCCATCCTCTGTCCACAAGCGATGGCTACAGTGACCTCAGACAGCTGTCAGCAAGCCCGGTCCAGTTTCAGGGGTCAGAGTTGAGGGGCCCCGGGCGGCCCGGCTCCCTCCCTGGTCCGGGCTGGAAGCAGGTGCTGGGGTACAGGCCGGAAGTGCCTGGGAACCTGGAACCAGGGACCTCTTCTGTCAGGTGTCATGGGGGCCGGCCATGGCAGATGACTTAGACTTCAGCATTTGATACCAATCTTCCCTGATGAGAGCCCCACCCAGGGAAGGGGGCCGGACAAGGAGCCCCACAGGGCCTCCCCGCTCTCCTCGGCCCGCCGGGTCTGGCCCTCCGCCTCAGCCCTGTCCTGTCCCCTGGGCCCGACCCTGGGAGGACTTCTGTCACCCCTCCCTCCTGCTCGCCACAGGCTGGTCTCTTGTCCTGGGAGGGGCGGTGGTAAGCCCTGGGCCTGGAGGTCACCCAGCCCTGGCCCCCATGTCCCTGGGCCCCCTCCTGGTTCTCGAAGTGCCTACCTGTGTGGGTAGTGAGGGGGCACCTGTGGGGAGGAGACACGGGCAGGAGCAGCCACAGGTCAAAGATCCACTGGGCGCACACATGACCTGCTGTGCACTGAGCCCCATTAATGTTTACCCAGAGCGAGGCCCCCGGAGGTAGCGTCAGAGCCCGGCACTTGTCTTGTCTTGGCCCCACTGTCGCCGCTGGGTGGGTGCTCTCGGTCAAGGGCCCTGTGGGGCCAGGCGCTGACCCTTAGTGCTGACGTCCACAAGCAGGTGCCTGTGTGACAGTGTGGTGCCCGCCCAGGGCAGGGCAGCACGCCGGGGCTCTGGCTGGGCGGCCTGGGGGGCCCTCGGGAGCTCTGCCTGGGGCTCTGCAGACTTTATCTTGGTGCTTGTCCCTGCCCGGCAGAAGGTAGGAGGAAAGCCCTTTGTGCTAGCTGGGCGGGGAGGGTGCCAGCCCCTGAGGTCGGCCCGTGTAGATCCGGGTTTGGGCAGCCTCGGCTCCAGTGGTGGCCAGCAGCAGTCGAGGGTCAGGCCCCCATCTGCAAGTAGCGGGAGGGCAGGGCCCCCCCACCCCCCGGCCACGCTGCTGCTCAGCTCTCCACCCAACCACCCTGCATCAGGAGACCCGGCCCACCCCGTTCTCTCCACAGCTGAACCCCGACTGGCCCCATCGCTTGCAGGGTGCCTCTTCTTGGGGTTACTCCCCTCCCTGCTCCTAGGATGTTAGGAGGAAGACCAGACTCCGCTGGGGCCAGCCCCTCCCCCGCAGGCTGGTCTCCCCGGGGGGCCTGCTGGCTCCAGCACCCAGTCCACTGCCCACCAATCCCTGTGTGCCAGGGGACTTTGCCCCAAGAAAGGAGGTTTCTGAGTGTCCTCTCAGCAAATTCCCTCGCCCCGCCTCTTCCTGCCCCCACCCAGGGGGCCCAGCAGTCCCTCCCCGGGGCTCCTGAGTGACAGCTCCTGCCCAGGTGGGGGTGGTGAGAATAGTGCAGCCTACTTGGGGGCATCTGCGCTCACAGCCTCCAGCACCTGCTACGGCCCCTGCAAAGGGCCTGAGTGCTGGCCACTGGACACAGAAGGAAGCCAAGGGCCAGGAGGCGGCCCAGTGTGGGCAGGACCCTGCTGAGCTGTGAGACCTCTCTGGGCCTAGCGCTGACCCTCTCCTTGGACACTGGTCACAGCAGTGACTTTATGCCTTCAGGGGACCTTCCCAGAATAGCACCCGACACACAGTGGGGGCTCAATGAGCTTTGTTGAGCGAATACTCCACAGGGCTGCCTCGCAGGTCAGGGGCGCAGGAGGTGGCCCTCCACTCCCGGCTCAGACCTCTGGGACGGTTCACAGGGAGGAGAGACTGCACTCCAGCAGGGTCGGGGCAGCCTTGGCCGGCCCGAGAGCAGCCACCAGACCCCTTCGGGCTGTCTCCTGAGCTGAGTGCAGGCCTGGGCTGGGCTCACTCCAACAACAACGCGCCCCGGCTCCGCTCGGGCCTGGGCAACCCTGCGGATTGGGTGGGCGGTCACTGGTCCCCTGCAGAGTCACAGAACTGCGGCCACAGCCCCTGAGCTCAGGCTGTGGGTCGGGGGTGCCCATGGGGGTTGGCACCCGGGATGCTCTGTCTCCAGGCTGTTCTGGGCAGGCTGAGCCTCAGCCAGAGGTCCCCTTGCCCAAGGTGCTGCAGCAGCCAGAGCTCAGGCTTCGGGGCTGCCTGGGGGGCCCCAGCAGCAGCACCTGGGCTGGGGGAAGTGCGGCTGGCGGCCCAAGGTGGGGCAGAGCACGGCTGGCTGCTGAGTGATGGCGGTGCTGCCTTTGGGGGGCACCGGGGGCCGGGGCTCCATGCGACAGGGCTCCCGCTCGGCCCGGATGGCCAGGAAGGCGGCCAGGTCGAGGTCCAGCATGGCCACCCCTCCCCGGGGTGTGGGTGTGCTCTGGCGGCACTGCGGGCAGGGGATCCAGCGCTGCTCATGGGCTGGCATGTCCAGCCGCCGCACGCACGCCTGGCAGAAGGTGTGGCCACAGTACAGGCGGCGGGGCAAGTGCCCGGTGAGGTCGTAGGCCGAGTAGCAGATGATGCAGTCACCTCGCCGGGTGCCAGCAGCTGTCCCCTCCTCGGAGGCCTGGGGACCCTCTGGCTGCAGCATCCTGTGGGAGGTGGTCAGGGAGCTGCAGCCAGCCTCGCCCGTCTCTGCCACTGTCCTGCACGGTCAGGGCCCTGGCACCGGGAGCCCACCCTGAGGACAGGAGCCCAGGCCTCTGCAGATGCCAGGTTGGGCCGCAGCCTGGGTCCCATGGGCCAGCATCCTGTCCAGCTGTTTGATTCTTCTCCATGGCCCTCTAGCTCTGCCCCTGGCCCCCACCCATCCCAGCCTGCCAGAGCCCAGGCCTCTCTTACCTGCATTCACTCTGCTGGGTGACTATGCCCAGCCAGAGGGTGGCCGAGGGTGGGGGGACACAGGGCACCCTGCAGCTCCCTCCCTGGGGCTCATGTTACTGGCCGAGCCGAGTCAGCAGGGAGGCAGGTGGTGGCTGCAGGCGGGCGGGCTCCCCTTTCAGCCAGAAAGCACTTGCAACTGGATCCACCAGCCCCCCCGCCCCGCCCCCACCCCCGTGCCCAGACCCAGCTCCCCTAACCCCCACCCAGGCCTGGCTTTGCTGCTCCTCCTGGCCCATCTCCTGTCTCCTCCACCCAGACCCCCCCACGCACACTCATACTCCCCCTCCCATGCCGGAAAGCATCCTGGTCTTAACCTGGGCGAGGCCTGTTCTTCATCTCAATTCAAGCATCACCTCCTCTGGAAGGCTGCCAGGAACCCCAATGGCTTACAGCCCTGCGGGGCGTGCTCCTCCCCAGCTCGGACACTGTGAGGGTGCAGGTTGATTTGCCCCAGTGCCTTCATCATGGGGCGGAGGCCAGTCTCAGAAAAGCCCCAAGGTGGCGCTCAAGCATAGGTGTGTCCAAGCACACACATGGACCACCCAGAAGCTCTCTGAAGAGCGGGGCACCATGGGCAGCCCTGGACACTCTCATCAGAGCCACCTCCTCCCAGGGCCAGCCCAGAGACTGGGACACAGGCACAGAGAAAGAGGTGTGCAGAGAAGGGTCGGAACAGGGTCAGGAGCCCCTGGACTCTCTCCACCTGGGAGGGAGGAAGTCAAAGGCCAGAGGGGCCCCTCCTTACTCCCACCACCCTGGCAGTCCGCAGCCTCTTGGCCTGATCAGACAGGTTTCTTTGGCTGACCTGGGTGGGGTCATCCTCTGGTGGGTGCTGACCGTGGGGCAGGGGCCAGGAGTCTGGCACACCCGAGTTCCTGCACAGTCAGGCCGATGATATGTCTGTCCACACCCAGAGACCAGTCCTGCCATGTGGCCAGTCACCATGGGTCAGGGGAGGGCCGGCATCAGGACCCGTCTGTCCTGCGAGGCCAGCTCAACTTCCTCCTTCACCTCTCTGCCCAGCCCCGGAAACGTCAGGATGCCCAGCGCCGGCCTCTGCTGACTCCTGGCGCCGGCATCCGGCCTCACCCCGTCCGTGAGGCAATGCCATGCTTAGCAGCTGAGCTTTCCACACGCCCTCCCGGCAGCTGTGCTATGCTGCACGCAGACAGGACGCAGGTGCTCCCAGGGGCCTCTCCCAGCCCAGCACCTGTGCGGCCCCCTCCTCCAGGGAGCCCAGGCCCTGGGGGCTGGATAGGGCTGAACAGCATGGCCCGGCACCACGCCGCCGATGTTCAGGATCTTTCGTGGGAAGGCAGAGAATGTCCTGGTTGAGGTAGGGTGATGACTCACATTGCTGAGCAGGGCTCGGTCCCGGCGCCTGGGCTCCCACTCGCAGAAACTTGCCAGCACCGGTCCCACCCACCACCAACCCACTCCTCCTCCCGGAGGCCTCTCCTGGGACTCCACTCCCCAGGTGCCATGCACAGCCTCCTGCTGTCAGACCCACAGGCTGACCTGGAAGCCAGGCCTGGCAGGACAGGGGACACACTCCTGCCCCTCCTGTCCAGCCTCTGGGCAGACCTGAGACCTGCAGTGCAGGTTAGAGGATCATGACGCAGTGGTTCCCCTGACCCCAAATGTCCCCCAGAGGCTAGGGCCCTGTGGTGTCGTCCTGCCCGGGTCCCCCGCCGGAAGGAGTCACCTGAAGAAAGCGCACTTTGCTTTATTCGTCAGGCTCTGCGCCTTGAGGGGGATGGGCAAGGGTATCCTGGGGGTTCCACCACAGCCGGTGCCCAGGGCTCCTTTGTGAGGGGCCTGAGCTGAGCTGTTGGCCTTTGTGGCACGAAGATGTCCCTGTCTAGGGTGGGAAGTGGCTGACACCCATGACAGTGGCCCAGCGGCTGCCCCAAACGTCCATGCACTGCTGTGGCTGCCGGAGCAGAGTCCTGGGGCCTGCTATGCAGGGGTCCTGGGCAGGCCCACGGCGGCCGGGGCAGGGCTAGGAGACCACGCAGCAGCAGCTGTGGCAGCGGCAGAAGCGAGGGCAGTGGCAACAGGAGCAGCAGGGACAGCAGCAGCAGTGGTGGGCGATGTCATCGCCGCGCCCGATGGGGGGCAGGCCGGTGTAGGTCAGTCCTGTCGGGCGCTGTGCACCCCTGTAGGGGTTGCCAGGCTGCTGCCAGGGCTGTTGGCCCTGGACTGGGAAGGCTCCCTTGGCACCCTTGCTGCCAGGCTGCTGCCAGGGCTGTTGGCCCTGGACTGGGAAGGCTCCCTTGGCACCCGTGGTGCCTTTGGCGCCTTTGGCGCCCTTGGGCCCTAGGGCCTCCTCGGTGGGCTGCAGGAGGCGCATGGGCTCCAGGGTGCAGGAACCCACAGGCAGAGGCTGCCGCTCTGAGCAGGAGGGAGCCACCTCCAGGTGCTGCTCCAGGTCAGGCCGCAGGTGAGCCCGGGGGATGCTGATGTGGGCAAACGGGTTCTTGACGACCATCTCATGGGGGTCCATGGCCTGGCCTGGCAGGGGAGAGCAGAGGAGACTGCCGACTCCGTGGGGGGAATGGCTGCAGCCCAAGCAAGTGCCCCCCCAGGAAAAGCCAGGCTGTGGGATGCCAGCGTGCCGGGCCTGCATGCCAATGTTCCCGTGCCAGTGAGGGCCAGTCTCCCAGCTGCCCCCCAGGTGTCTTGCCCTTCCCGGAGTGGCAGTGCCCTGGCTGGAGTTGGGAATGGGTGGGGGAGTCTGGAGACACAGCAGAGCTGGCCCCACAGGGGAGCCCCTGTGCAGGGAGGGCCCGGGACCTACCTCCAGTCACAGTGGCAGTCGGTCCCCTTGTCCCTCTAGGCCAGGTCCCAACGCCTGTGAGCTGAGCGGCTGGCAACTGCCTTTTCCCTCCTGGGGAGGGGTGGGGCCATGGGCGGGACTCAAAAATGGGGTTCCCAAGATCCCAGGAGGCTCCAGCTCCTCCAGCACAGTGGCCACCCACCCTTCCTTCTCTGGTGGGTGGTGGCCATGGCCTGGGCGACTCAGCCTCGACATATTCCAGGCATCTTGGCCCAGGAAGGAGGGCAGGAGGGCAGCCTGGGGTCAGGCCCTCAGATCCCAGCCTGCAGGTGGTCTGGGGGTTCCAGCCATTCTCACACCTCAGAGCCCTGCTTTGCGCAGGGAGGAGGTCCTCGTACCCCTCCATACCACCTACAGCTGCTGCCTGGCAGGCAGAGAGACAGATGTTTGAGGGCATGGACTACTTAGAGACTTGTGTGTTGTTGTTTTTTTAACTGAAAAAAATCGATTTGCGCACTTTTGTTTAAGACTTTTTTTGTTAAAATTTTTTTTCTTTATTGATTTTAAAGAGAGAGGGAGAGGGAGAGATAGAAACATCCATGAGACAGAACATGGATGGGCTACCCCCTGCACGCCCCCCGCTGGGGATCCGGCCCACAACCTGGGCATGTGCCCTGACCTGGAATGAACTGGTGACCTCTTGGTGCCCGGTCGATGCTCAACCACTGACACACACCAGCCAGTGATTCACACAGTTTTGCTGATAAAACTTACGTGTCTTACAACTGGCGACTCGCGCTTCCTACACAAGTGACGTTTCTAGTGCACGTCTGAACCCAGTGTCTTTTTGCTGGGTGGGTCCAGGGGCCCAGGGTCTCCCCGCCGGCCCGCCGTCCTTGGCTCTCGAACCCTCTCCCACCTTCATCTGTAAGGCAGCACTCATAGGGTGGCCGTGTATGGGGGTAACAGTGGATGTAAACACTTGTGAACCCTGGCGCTGGTGAGCTCCCCCTGGGGCGACCCGGCGCAGTAGGGTGCGGCCTGGACCCGCACCCCGAGTCCTTGGTGCCCGAGGGAACCCCCAGGAAGAGCAGGATCAAATCAGACGTGGCCCAGAGGCCAGGGTGACCTGAGTGGCAGGCGTAAGGCCGGTCGGACCGGTCGGAACACGAGTTCTACCGATGCGGCATCCGATTCGGAGGGGAACTGGCCCGCGGCCTTGAACTTCGAAAGCCGACGACAGAGGGCCCCTGCGCAGGCGCCGTAAGCCCCGCCAGCCCCGCCCGCCCCGCCCACCGCTCCTGCAGACTCCGCCCCTCGGCGCGAGGCGGCCTGTGGGAACTTTATTCCCCAGAAGCCTCCGCGCTCGAGGGTTTCCTTAAAGACCCGGCTCAGGATCTGCTGGCCTCGGAGCGCTCAGAGCGCGGCTGGGGCCGCCCCAGTCTGAACCACAGAGCTCCCCGGGCGCGGACTTCGGCGGGCTCCAGGCGGGGGCTCGTGCGGGGCGGGGCCTCGTTCCTGGGGGCGGGGCCTCGAGGCGGGGGCGGGGCCTGGGGCCTGGTGCCTCCTGGCGTGCGCGCCCAGCTAGTGAGTAGGGGCGACGTGTGGAGCCCGTGGCTGAGGCTGGGCTCCCAGATGTCCACGGGCCGGCGCTGCCTCCCTCGCCCCACTTCATGCTAGGGCCCCATCAGGCCCTCACTGCCCCTCCCACCAGGCACTCGCGCACCTCTCGCACCTGCTCCTGCAGAATGACGGAGGAAACAGGGCTGAGGTCACACAGGGCAGCAAAGTCAGGCCCCATGGGCCAGCGACTCTCCTCCGGCCTATTTTGCCCACGTGGGCTCCCTCACCAGGAACATCGACCTCTCTGGGCTCTGCTGCCCTGCAGGACCTGGGGACTGCAGACATAGTCTGCCCTGTGCAGAGGAGAGGGGTCTGTGGCCCGAAGGGGCTGGGACTGTCCAGGGTCAGAAGCAGGGCCCAGTGCTGGTCACAGGACTGCACGCACGCTACGTGGTGGCTGTGGCAAGTCAGGGGAGGGCACTCGAGGCTCCCGCAGCCCTGGTCCCATCATGTCCTCTGTCCTCCCTGTCACCTGAGGGCTCCCCGCAGACAGTGGGTAACAGGGAAGGAAGCCTGGCTGAGGAGGAAGCAGAAAGGAATGGGACTTATCTGCTGGGTGGGGTCCGGTTAGCACTCAGCTGTGTGACAGTTGGGCACGTGTTGACCTGATAAAATGCGGGAAAGGGCTACCCCACCCTGGGTGGGTGGTGTCCTCCGTGGGTTGCCTCACAGTAACCTATCCATCTTCTAAATACCCCTCACCCCACCCAACTGTCCAACCGTCCTGGGAGCCTTCTCCCAACTCCTGTCCACTCTGATACCTGCTTGCCCACCCTGCTCACCCTCTTATGGTCACCTTGCACTCTTTGAGCCCGCCAGCGCGGGGCAGAGCCTGGGTGCACCTGTGAGCTGGAAAACTCCGGAGGCATTCCCACTGCGGGCTGGGGGGACACAGGCAGTCCCAGGGTAGAGCGCTGGGAACCCGCGTTCCGGGGACCACTTGGCTCCCCTTCTCTCCCTCTCGCACTGTGAGGCTTCGGGCTGCGAAAAGATTCCCCTTCCATATTGGGGCCATGGGGGGAGGCTAGACCAGGGCTCAGGGTCAGCCAGGCGGAGACGGGATGGGGGGACTGGAGGAGGGGTGATGCAGGAGTCCTCACCCGCACGCGGTCCGCGGGCGACGGGCGACCCCGGGAGCGGGCACCAGGCCCTCTGCGGATCGAGGGGCGGCCGAGAGACTGGCCCCGCCCCGCGGACCCCGCGCGGGTCCCCAGACGGGGGGTGGCGCTGCGGGCGCGGGCGGGCGCCGCGCGCACTGCGGTCCCCGCGCCTCCGCCGCAGAGCGCGCCACGCTTCGCACGCACCTGCCGCCGCCGCGCCGCGCCGAGCCCGCTCCCCGCGCCCCCGGGAGCCGCCGCGACCGCGCCATCGCTCCAGGTCGCCGCCGGAGCCGCCGGGCCGAGGCGCGGGCGCCGCATCCGGGCCTGCCTTTGAGACAACCTCTGCGGCGGCGGCGCGCGGCTCGGGGACGCCAGGCTGGGGCAGGTGAGAGCGGGCGCGGCGGACGGCCTCGGGGTCGCGAGTCGCCGCTCCTCCCCATCCCAGCGAGGGTCGGGCCTTGGGGGCGGGGACAGGGGAGGGGGCTGGGTTCCAAATGCAGCGAGGGTCAGGGTCATAGGTCGGGCGCCCGGTCTTTTGTGTCGTGCTAGGGTGGGGGTGCGGGTGGGCCCGGGCGCTGCCCTCACGCTGTCTCTCACCTGCAGCTCAGGCCTGGTCCAGGCCTCTTCCCTGCTCCCGCCACCGCCGAGCCTGCGGCCCGGGTCCGCCCGCAGCCAGGGCTCAGGCTAGCTGCCTTCCCTGGGCACCCTGCCCTGGAGCCATGGGGCCCACCTAGCCCCTGCCTGCCCGGATGTCCCAGCCCGGGGGCTGCTGACCTCGGCTGCAGGGAGAGCCCCCCCCAGACCTCCTTGCCAGCCTCAGCAGCCAGAGACCCTGGGTGAGCCCCTGGGCCAGACCTCCAGCCCAGGGCAGCCTTCCACATCTCTCTACCCCTGCCTCCCTGCACCTCCCCCGCCCCTTCCTCCTCCTCCTAGGACTGGACCAGAGAGGCCACTGTGGCCACTGGGAGGGGCCCTGCCCCCCCAGCTCTCACCGGTCACCCCCAAGAGTCCTCGGGGAGGCCGGGGTCCCCCTCAGGCCTGGCGGGACCAGGATGTTGCCCCTGCTCCTCCCCCCCGGCCCCACCCAACGCCCCCTCCCACCTTAACATCCAGTCTGACTGGAGACAGCCGGATGCCGGCTGACCCTGGGCCCGAGGCGGGCAGTGGCTGGCCGGGCCTCCTCATGTCCTGCCTGAAGGGCCCCCATGTCATCCTCAAGATGGAGGCCATGAAGATTGTCCACCCTGAGAAGTTCCCTGAGCTGCAGGCGGCCGCCCCCTGCTTTCCACCTGCACCCCGGCCCACCCCAGCTCTGGCACCCAAGCGCGCCTGGCCCTCAGACACGGAGATCATCGTCAACCAGGCATGTGGAGGGGACATGCCTGCCTTGGAAGGGGTGCCCCGCACCCCACCCCTGCCACGGAGGCCCCGCAAGGGCAGTGCAGAGCTGGGCTTCCCCCGTGTGGCGCCAGTGGACGAGGTCATCGTGAATCAGTATGTGATGCGGCCTAGTCCCCCTGCCTCAGGGTCCCCTGCAGTGGCATCCCCCGCTGCGGGTGAGCCCCTGGAGTGCCCCACCTGTGGGCACACGTACAACGTCACCCAGCGGCGGCCCCGCGTGCTGTCCTGCCTGCACTCTGTGTGTGAGCAGTGCCTGCAAATCCTCTACGAGTCCTGCCCCAAGTACAAGTTCATCTCCTGCCCCACCTGCCGCCGCGAGACTGTGCTCTTCACTGACTACGGCCTGGCCGCGCTGGCCGTCAACACATCCATCCTAAGCCGCCTGCCGCCCGAGGCACTGACCGCCCCGTCCGGTGGTCAGTGGGGGGGCGAGCCCGAGGGCAGCTGCTACCAGACCTTCCGGCAGTACTGTGGGGCCGCGTGCACCTGCCACGTGCGGAACCCGCTGTCAGCCTGCTCCATCATGTAGTGCCCACCCGCCGTCCCCGCCGGCCCTCGCGCTGCTGCTTCAGGGACCCGGCCCTGCCCTGTCCCCCTCTCGCCCCTCACCCGTCACAGCTTCTGGCCCCCACCCGTGTGGCACTGTCGCTGCAACCAACTTTGCCATTAAAACTCTGCCAAAGTTTGCATCTTGTCCCTGGACTGAAGCCCACTGCTGTGGCCTGTGCACTGGGCCAGGGTGGGTACCAAGGACTGCAGCCCAGACGGCTGCCAGAGGGAGGCCCGGCGCTGCTTGGCGTCAGCCTGCTCTGCTCGCTGGCCAAAGTGGGCTGGGCATGCCGCTCGGGATGGCGGGCCGGGCTGTGCGTGCGAGCGTTCCACACATGCAGAGCCAGCTGCCTGTGTGCAGGACATGTGGGCAGGTGTGCAGAATGGGCCCAGCTGGGCTGAGACACTTAGTGTGCACTGGCCCCTGGACATGGGGGACAGCTCGGTCTATCTGGTTCCTGGTGACCAGCTGACCCTCTGAGGCCGTGTGGTAGCTGGGCCAGTCTGAGCTGGGGTTGGACATGCTGACCAAGGTCGTGGTAGGGACCACGGCAGGGCCAAAGGCCTGGGAGCCTCCTGTCTGGTACTCGGGTGACCGGGATTTGGAGGGAGTTTGGCGGGTGTGGAGCAGAGCCGCTTGGACGGTGACAAAAGACGAGGACACAGTGTAGTAGCAGTGGTTACGGTGGTTGCCACTGTTTATTGAGAGTCATTTCCTGGACCAGGCATGCGCTTAGTGTGTCCCCAACAAGCCCATGAGGTGGTGCTGTGACTTCTGTCCTTCAGATAAAGGCCCCAGCCTCCAAGACTCGAGGTGGCAGGCCTTCAGGGGCCTCAGCCCAGCACTCCAGCTCCAAGGGCTGGCTGGGCCTTTGTCCCTTGTAGCTCAGGGTCACGTGCTGGGCCCCCTGCTGCTTGTGACACCCCCTCGGGTTCTGACCTGGCTGGCGAGGAGGCCCTTTGTGGGCTGAGTTTGCAGAGCAAGGGCCTCCCCCCTCAGCTGCCCTGACCTTCAGGGAACACACTAGCCCTTATCTGGGACACAGGCAGGAGGCAGTGGGGGAGGCTGCAGCCCCTGCCCAGGGCCCCACCCTCTCCAAGGAACCGACTAACTGCCAGATCTCTGTGACTTCTGTGTCCACTGAGCCTCTCGCAAACATGCTGGGGTGCGGCGGCGGGGGGGAGCCCCGTGTCAGTGGTGCCGGCGATCGAGGGGTGCTTGCGGCCCTGGTCACAAACCTCTTCCAGCACTGTCGTTGGGCACTACTGGTTACTGTCTGGGCAGCAGGGTGGTTTGGAGTCTCTGGCTGGGTCAGGGGCTGAACACAGGCTCCTGGGTGACCCTGGGCCAGTCTTGGGTCTTGACTGAAGGTTAGAACCTGGTCAACCTTGGATTTTCCAGCCTGGTCAGCAGGCCTCAGGGAAGCTGCTCCTCGGGGCAGGGCCCATGGCACCAAGCCTGCAGGACCCGGCCAGTCTGAGCCTCCAGGCCAGTGGTGCTGGGTGGTCAGTGGCTGGAGCGGTCCAGCAGCATGAAAAGCAGCCCCAGCAGCATGAGCGGTGTGAAGATGAGCACCAGGCCCAGCAGCTCCAGGGCGAGCAGGCACAGCAGCGCCAGGCGGCGGGCGCAGGGCCCCCGTTCCCGCAGTGCCCAGAGCCAGGCACCCAGGCAGGGTGGGCAGGGCAGGAAGGGCAGGCAGCCCTGGCCACCCACGGGCCCCGCCAGGAAGCGCAGCTGGTAGCGGTACTCCAGGCAGGCCCAGGGCCCCAGGCCCCGGCGGGGTGGCGCGGGGGGCACGGGGCTGGGGGGGCGCGGGGGCCCATCGGCCTGCAGCAGCTCCTCCTGCAGCTGGCAGATCTCCCACTCCAGCATGGGTGTCTTCTGGCGACACAGCGGGCAGCGCACGCGGCCCAGGTCAGCGCCGGGGGCTGTGCCCAGCAGCTGGTGCAGGCAGCCTGAGCACAGGCCGTGGCCGCAGTTCAGCAGGGCCAGGCGGTGCTCACCAGGCCCATAGGGCTCTGTGCAGATGGGGCACTCCTCCTCCTCCTCCTCCTCCTCTTCCTCCTCCTCCCCTGTGGGCCCAGCCCAGGGAGGCGCTGCGGCTGTGGCCCTCAGCAGGGGCTCACTGTCTGGAGTCCTGGGACCCCCGGGGTTCCCAAGGGCCTGGCTGTCCAGACTTTCATCTGCCGGCACTTGGTACAGTGGGTCCAGGCACTCGGGGCCCAGGGAAGCTGAAGGCGCAGTGGGGAGCCCTGAGCTGGGGTCAGTGGGGTCATGAGCAGGTGCCCCGGGGCAAGAGTCAGGATGGGACCCCAGGGTGGCAGTGGGGTGGTGGGGGCTGTGGTCACGGTGGGCCTCGGGGGCCAGGGCAGGATCTGGCACTGACCTTGCAGCAGCCACCGCCTCCTCCAGGCTTCTTGCCCCTACCGAAAGCAAACTTCACTGGGGTCCCAGCACCTGTGCCAGCTCCGGCCACTCCTGGGCCCACACATACAGTCCCCACTGGGTCCGCCCGAGCCCGGCCACTGCCACCGCCGACCCGTGTCAGCTGCCGACCTAGCCGGATGGGCTCCAGGCCACGCACTGTGCGTAGGCTGGCCTGCCCAACAGCTCCGACAGGAATTCCCCTGATCCCGGAAGGCCCAGCCCAGGGCGGGGACAATGCCTGCCCCTCCCTCCCCTCCTTGCTCTGGGCCACACCCCCTTCCTCCTGCGAGGCTGCCGCTCCCGGCCGGAGCAATGGGGCCTCCGGGCCGTGCCAGCCTGGCCGGGCACTCCTCACACATTCTTTGGGTGTCCTCTCCAGACCGCTCCCCACCCCACCCGCCCTGTCAGAGCCCGGGAAGACTGTACGAGGGGCAAACAGCCGGCACCCACCATGTGAGAATCACGTCCAACGCTGCAGCCAAGGTGGCTGAGCAGTGGCCACGTGCCCCACCATGGGCAGGCCGGCCCCATCCCCAGGATCCGGCCCCCCCTCCCCCCGAGGCACCAGAATAGCACAGGAAAGAGCAGGTCAGAAGACCCCTGAGCCTGAACTTTATTGCCAAGGCTTTCTGGGACCAGGCAGGGATGGTGGGTGCGGCCAGGGCCTCTGCCTTTAACCCTGAGCCCTGCGGGGCCCTGGGGGCACACACGTGGCAGAGGAGGACTGGGAGCCCCACGGCTGCCCAGGACAGAGGAGGGGCAATCTGGCCCTCTCAGGGACCCCGCACCCCCGGTTCCCATGCTGTCTGGAAGCTGATGTTCAGGGAAGCTCCCTGATTCCCACCAGGCTTTGCTGCCTTCCTAGGTCACCACCTGAGCAGGACGCAGGTTGGGGCCAGTAGGAAACGGCAGCTGGAACCGGCGACCAGGGAGGGCAGTGGGGTTGGGGCTGAATGTGGACCCAGGCAGCGTGCACAGGGGGCTGGCCATCCTCCCACCTGGGGTCAGACAGGGCAGCAGTCTAGTGACAGTGGCCAGCAGGCAGCTCCTCAGGCCCACGTCTCAGTCTGGAAGCGCAGGGTGCGCTGCAGCCGGGCCAGGTAGGCAGCCGCGTCGGGGCCCGAGAGCCCGCCCTCCCCCTGGAAGATGGACAGCAGGGCTTCGGACACATCTGCCGGCATGTACTTGGCATTGCTGCAAGAACAGGGCAGTCAGCGCGCAGTGCAGCCCGACGCCCAGAGGACCGCTGCCCCACGCCCAGGCTCACCCTGCCAGGCAGAAGCAGGCGCCGCGGCGGTCCAGGAGCTCCCACACCAGCGGCCCACGCTCTCGGAGCCGGTGCTGCACGTACACTTTCTGCTCCTGCAGGACGGGCGGGTGAGTCTGCACCCCAGCCCCGCACACCCTCCCTAGCCCTCTGCACACACCCACCTGCTCCCGGGAGAATGCTGTAACCAGGGTCAGGCAGCCCTTCTGCTCCAGCTCCGTCCACTCAGCCTCCCAGTAGAAGTCCTGGTCCCGCCGGCGGCAGCCAAAGAACAGGAAGTTCCCTGGGGAGGCACAGGGGGCTCAAGCCTGGACTTGCCCAGACTCAGCCCAGCCCGCCTGGCCCCCACCCTGCCTTGCACGGTTCACTCACCCCTCTGACCCTGGGCCACTCTCTCCTGGATGGCTGCTCGGAAGGGGGCCACGCCAGTGCCAGGCCCCACCATTATCACAGGCGTGTCTGGTGTCTGTGGCAAGGTCAGGCTCCCAGGCCTCACCCACAGGGGCACCCGGACAGGGCCTATTGCAGGAGTGAGGTGGCATGAAGAGGCTCGGAGGACCAGGTGCCTAGCCCAGGTCCACCCCTACTCTCCAGACAGCAGGGGTCACCTTGTGCAGGGTCCAGAGATGCAAGCCAGGAGGAGCAGAGGCCCCGGCGGGGCTCCTTGAGGCGAGTCTGATACTGGACCACGGCCACGAGAATCTGCAGCCTCGCAGGGTGAGCCTGGGGGACAGGATGTGGGCGGCAGTCTGGAGGGCGCCCACCTGACGGCTACCTGCATGCCCCAGGCCCCGCCGACCCCTCACCAGCAGAGAGGAGCGCGCCCACCTGACGGCTACCTGCAGGCCCCCAGGCCCCGCCCCCAGGCCCACCGACCCTCACCAGCAGAGAGGAGGCAATGGAGAAGGCACGGGGACGGATCGGGGGGATGAGGTCCAACAGGTAGTCCAGGGGAATGGCCGCCGCCGAGTGTGGGAAATCACACAGCACCTGTGCAGGCAGAGGGCCTCAGGGGCTCGGCCGCCAGCCAGCAGGCCACCCGCAGTGGGTGCCCCGCTCCCGCCCCCCTCCGCCCCGCCCCCCTCCCGGCCGGTCACACCTCCAGGATGGTCCTGCGGGGCCGGCTGCAGTATTCATGCAGTGCCTCCTGGCCAGCAGCAGAGCTGAACTCCAGCAGCTTCTCCCGCTCCAGCTCGTGCGGAGACAGGCAGGCCAGGAGCTCAAAGAAGGAGCGGCGTGGCACGCTGGCGATGTCCAGGTACTGGGACACGAGGTGCCGCACAGAGCAGGGCTGGGGCAGCCGCTCGGGGCAGGGGACATCTAAGAGGGGGCAGGAGATGGTGAGGAGCCGCTCGGGGCAGGGGCCGTCTAAGAGGGGGCAGGAGATGGTGAGGAGCCGCTCGGGGCAGGGGCCGTCTAAGAGGGGGCAGGAGATGGTGAGGAGCCGCTCGGGGCAGGGGACATCTAAGAGGGGGCAGGAGATGGTGAGGAGCCGCTCGGGGCAGGGGACATCTAAGAGGGGGCAGGAGATGGTGAGGAGCCGCTCGGGGCAGGGGACATCTAAGAGGGGGCAGGAGATGGTGAGGAGCCGCTCGGGGCAGGGGCCGTCTAAGAGGGGGCAGGAGATGGTGAGGAGCCGCTCGGGGCAGGGGACATCTAAGAGGGGGCAGGAGATGGTGAGAGCGCTCGGGGCAGGGACATCTAAGAGTGGGAAGGAGATGGTGAGGAGCCGCTCGGGGCACGGGACATCTAAGAGGGGGCAAGGAGATGGTTGAGGAGCCGCTCGGGGCAGGGGCCGTCTAAGAGGGGGCAGGAGATGGTGAGGAGCCGCTCGGGGCAGGGGACATCTAAGAGGGGGCAGGAGATGGTGAGGAGCTGCTCGGGGCAGGGGACATCTAAGAGGGGGCAGGAGATGGTGAGGAGCCGGCGACTCGAGAAAGGACAGGGAGTAAGGGTGGCAGCCGGGCCCACAACTCACGTGGTTCCCGAGGCTGCAGCGTGAAGTACTGGTCAGGGTCCAGGCCCAGCACCTGGCAGAAATGCTGGACGTGCCTGGCTGTATTCTCGGGCTGGATCAGCACCACGTCGCCGGCCACAAAGCTGGGGGGAGCCATGGTGGGCATGAAAGGATGCTGGGGCCTCCAGGGGAACCGCAGAGGATGGAAGCCAGTGTCCAGGGAGGGCTGGGGCTTGGACCAAGGTGGCCCCCGTAGCTTGGCCTGTGCCCTGCCCTGCTGAGTGCGTGCCTCTGCTCTCAGACCGCGGCCCCACGCCGTGGCCCCACCGCTGTGGCCTGCCCTCCATGGGTTCCTGGGACGGACTCCTCTTCACCTGATGCCTGAGCCCGAGATGTCAAACTCGATGAGACGAACATCCTGGAAGTGTGAGGGGCCGGTGACCCTCTGGTTGGTGACCATGCGTGCCAGGAAGGGCTGCAGCTCTGAGGGGGAGCTCGGAGGCTCTGTCCTGGCCCCACGCTGTCCTGCAGAGCACTCCCTGGGGGCCTCCTGGAGGAGCTGCAGGGCGAACTTGGAAGGCAAACTGTGGAGAGGGTGTGCGCTGGTCAGACCAGGGGCAGGCCTGGGGAGGCCCCAGCGAGGCCCAGTGGCCAGGCCGCCCCACTGCACCCATGGGCCCTGCACCAAAGCCCACACTCACGGGACTTCAGGGGGGATCACGCTGAGGCCGAGGGGCATGGGGCACAGTTCCAGCACCTTCTCCCACAGGTCGTGAAGCCAGGGGTCAATGGCGGCATCAGGCCTGAAGAGAGGGCACAGGTGACGGTCCGAAGTGAGCCTGGTCGCGGCGGAGCACAGGGGCACCCCTCCCACACTCACCCCAGCTCATGCTGGTCGTCGCCCAGGCACACGGGCAGGAGGGCGGCACCCCCGAGCTGCAGCAGCCGTCGGTATAGCTTCTTGGCCACAAAGTTGAACCTGTACAGACAGTGAGGCTGGTGGGCTGGGGCTGGGGAGGGGGAGCTGGCCGCGGGCAGAGGGCAGAGCTGAGACACACATTCCTGGGCTCGGGGTGTGGGAAGCCCCGCCTCCCGGGGCACAGGTCTCACTGCCGGCTCGAGCGGTCCTGGGGCCGCCGTCAGCGCGGGGCTCACACCGCCTGTGGGTGTGCATGCCGCCGTCAGCCCGGGTCACACCACCTGTGGGTGTGCATGCCGCCGTTCCGCACGGAGCAAGCCCCACAAGCAGGTCACACTGCCACCGCTCTTTCCTTTCTCCACAGCGACACGGGCCTCCTCCCACTGTGTTTGACTTTGGAGGCGCTGGAGCCGGCACTGGATAGTTAGGGTTCCGATGTGCCGTGGCCTGATGCCATGTGTAGCCTGAACATGAACCCCTTGGTATCCGCCTGGCAGATAACCCAAAGCAACACTACCCTTTGCTTAGGACACGGACACGCGAAGACACTGAGAGAAAGATCAGAGGTGGCCGCGCTGCCGTGCCAGGGAAGTGGTGGCCTTAGGTGGCTCCCTGGGCCCGGCTCGTCCGTGCCCACTGCTCTGTCCTCTGTGCTGCTGGGAACAAGCCAAATAGCTCATGGAAATGTTTGTGTGTTTTTTTTTTAACCCTCACCCGAGGCTATTTTTCTGTTGATTTTCAGATAGAGTGAGAGGGAGAAAGGGAGACAGGAACACTGATGTGAAACAGACACATCGAATGGTTGCCTCCCACATGACCCCAACCAGGACCGGGATGAACTGCAACCGAGGTATGTGCCCTTGACTGGAATTGAACCCACAACTCTTTGGTCCTCAGGCTGACACTCTAACTGCTTGAGCCAAACCAGCCAGTGCTGAAATGTGTCTTTACAAAAGCGGGGAAAGAGCCAGGTGGGCCTCTGTTGCAATAAGACACACGTGAATAGGTGGTGCGGCTGGTATCAGACACCACCTCCTGCCCTGGAGGTCTCCCTGGGAGCCCCGAGCTGGGCCACGTCGTGCACCCTGCCACCCTCCAAGCCCAACGAAGGCGCCCCCTGGGGAGCATCTGTGGGATGAGGATGCATGCCCTGGGCCGCAGCCCAAAGCCTGGCGGGAGCCCTGGAGGCTGGGCCACCTGTCCCTCCACAAGGACACCATAGTCAGCCCTGAGGACAGGTGTACAAGCCAGCAGTCCGGCTGACCCACTCACTTGGTGTAAGAGGAATCCCCGAGGCCCAGGACGGCGAAGTCCATCTGGCAGAGGGCGGTTGATGGCAGGTTCTTCCGGAATATGAACCTCCAGAAGCTCTGCCGTCAGGAGAAACTGAGTTAGGGGCCCTGCTCTGGGCCACCAGGACCCCAGGGCGGTGGGAGGGCTGCTCCGGGCCTTTCCCAGGGCCTTGCTCTCCTGCCCCAAGCTGTTATTAAAACAAAACCACGTCTTATTTCATCACAATGGCAGGAAGTTTGGAAGAGGCAGTAAGTTGTGAGCTGCTACCACAGTGGGAGGTCCACTCCTGCAGGGGGCAGAGGGCTCTGGGAGAGTCTGGGCTTTTCTGTGGGTTGCAGGCTGGTGAAGATGGAGGACCACCAGCTCCTCATGGGGCGGGCACTGCCTCCCAACTCTCCCCAGGTTGAAGGAAGTGCCTGCTCCTACTTGGGTTCCCTGGAAGACTTTTCTTCACACCAGGAGCCCCAGGTCCCAGGGTCTCCCTCTGTGGGTGGGCTTGGGCCTCGTGCACCAGCAGGTAGCTGTGTGCTGGCCCAGGACCCACGGTCTCCAGAGGAGCCTCCAAAGCAACTTCCCAGCCCCTACAGCAGTGCCAGCCTGGGCCTTGGGCCCGCCACAAGGACCTCTGCATGTGGTGCCGGGCTCACCTCCAGCCCTTCGTTTCTTTCCTTCCCCAACTGAGGCCACTGGGGTGGGCTCACCCTGGCCTGCAGAGGCACAGCTCTGCCCACTGGCTCTGGACCACACCCTGGCCTTCTCCAGGACTTTGCTGCTCAGGCCACCACTGGGGACCATGCCTGCTCTGCTCTGCTGTCTGAGCACATGGTTCTCTCCACAATGACTGGCAACTGGCGGGCCTTGGGTTGAAATCGCCTGCTCCGAGAACCGGAGCTCTTCTGTCGCCGACAGCGAAACCCACGAGGACATGCTTGGTTGGGAGGCCTCTGCATGCCCGGTGGGCCCTTCCCGGGCACGTGGAGGGCTCTCTCGGGCTGGAGGCCTGTCCTTCAGTCCTGGGACAGTTTGCTCCTGTCCATGATGAACTCCTCTCTACTCTTTCTCAGAGGCTACTAGAATGACCTTAGAATTTTAACATCGTCTTCCTTATTCATATCTTATTTTTTGTTATGCTTTCCTGGAGAATTTCTCAACTTTATCTTTTCAGATTTTCCTGGTGTTACTGCAGCAAGCGTGTCAGTCTCCAGCGCTGTGGGCCATGTTTCCCTCCGCAGGCGGCACCCTGACTACTCTAGGCTCCTCCTGATTTGTCTCTCACCGGGTCCTTTCCACAGGGGGTGCAAGCTTTTTGTGGTGTTTGTACTTATGAAGCCAACAGAAAACCATGAGTTTGGGCCTGTCTCCCAGTGGGTTTCATGGCTGGAGGGGGGGCAGGGCCCTGGTTTCCCAGAGTGCTTCTCCCGTCTGCTGCCTGGGAGCACACCCTTGACCACAGCATGCTCAAAGGACTGCGGCAAGGAGGCTGGTGTCTACCTGTTTAGTACACAGCTGCTCTCTCCCCAAGGTCCCCAGTCCTTTCACGGATAAGCCCCAGCCTCTCAGGCCTTATCTTACTTCACTTCCATACAGCTTTGAGTGCTGGAGGCCTACCTCTTGAGACAGTCACCTCCCTACCCTTGGGCATGGAGATGGTGCATTCCCTCTTCCTGCTGCCGGGGCAACTTTCCTATCCCTCACAGCCTGTCCCGGGGCAGGAAGGAGCTTCCCTTCTCAGGCTTCCTATTTTGGCCTCTACCCAGGATCCTCATTGGTGCGCCAGACCCACCTGGACGAGTCCCACACACCAGGTCCTCGATAGTCTATTTCTGTGCATGCAACTACCACCCATCCTGGTACCTGAACTTGAATCCCTGTCTTGATCCTACCACCTTCTTTCTCAGCTTTGAAGTCCATTTGATTCTGTATCCTGTTGGGTTTACCTTAACACCTGTGGAATGTGTCAGCCCTTTAGTCTCCTCCTGCTCTGTGCATCTCCTGGCTGTCTTGCTCTACTATAGCCTATCCCCCTGCAGACAGGGGTGGTTCTGCTAGAACATGAATGAGACTGTCACCCTGTGAGTCCCACAGCCCTTCATTTCAAGCCCATCTGCCTCACTGTGGCAGCCGGGCTTCTTGGACCGAGCCATGCTTCCTGACTCTTCTCCCCTCCTACCCCAAAACACTCCTTGGCTCGGCCACCCTGGACTGCTTTTTGCTCTTCCCAGAGGGTAGGCTGTCTTTCTCCTTTGCATAGGCTGCTTCCTCTCTCCTGGGGCTGGGTTAGCCCCCACTTATCCTTCAGGACTTAGCCTACAACCTTTTCTTCCGGAAAGCTCTACCTGAGTCCCCAGGTTGGGACAGATGGCCCGTATTACTGCTCCCATAACATCTGGCATACTCCCAGCAGCATGCACTCCCGGCCCTGTAACTGCCGGTTACACTGTTGCTCTGCTCTGTTGTTAGCTCCATGAGGGCAGAAATGTGGCCACTGGCGTCACAGCTCGTTCCTAACACTGGATCACGCTTGAAATACCATGTGTGCCCAAAAGATGGTCAAAGAATTGAAAAATGTTCTCTGAAGGTCAAACTATTTTGAAATACACATTAGACCCAGACCAGACTCATACACAGCCCTGGAAAAATATGAACGCTTAAAATAGTCACCTGCGAGAAGTTTATTAGGGAGGACAACCAGAACCCCCAGCTCCACCCAAAAATATTGTCCAAGTCCATGGCTACCATGCAGCACGGTCAAAGGGCAAGTATTTATTGTGCTCCTCAGACCCTCCAGGCACTGTAAACAGGGTGAGGGTCAAGGGCGGGCATCTGAGCTCCAGAGCACAAGAAGCCACTTCCGGTCAGCCTTACCTTCATGTTGTCAGGGGGGTCTCCTTGGCCTGTAGTTGCACAAACAAATATCACCAGGGGCTCGTTAATCAGATTCACCTCAACAGAAAGACACACGTGTAAGACCTCCGGCTGTAACGACCAGGCAGCCCTCCCGCAGCCCGGCCCCTCCCCTTCACTCCGGGGATGGGGCGAAGGGACTCGGGGAGCCCCGCCGAGCCGCCGGCCTGCCTTCCCTCTCTCAGACTCCGCCTTGCCCCCCCCAAATGCTAAGGTGAGCTGCTGTTTCCAAGCTTTCCCGTCCCCTAAACCCTCCGCAGTGGGAGGGTCCACTTTCGGACAACACGCGGCGCCCCCGGCACGCTCGGTCTCCCCGCCGAGGCCCAGGGAGCCCTCACCACCGGGTAGGAGTCCAGGGCTTGCACCCGGCAGTCGAGACGCCGGCGCCGGGCCTCGCGGCCCAGCCTCTCCGACACATCCTCGGCCGTGCCCGTCTGGCTGCCGAAGAGCACCAGAAGCCGTGAGCTCGGCATCGGGGCGTGAGCGCGCCCAGGAAGCCCCTGCACCCAGGAACGGGACCAGCAAACGGCCTCCGCCAGCCCGGGCGGCCGGGACCGGCTCTGACTTCCGACTTCCGGCGCAGAACGGAAGTGACGGCATCGGCCCGCGTCCGGCGGGGCATGGCGTCCGAGCGAGGCGGGTGTCTGCTGGCGGCTAGTGCTGCGTCCCGGGCCGGGGTCGGGGGATCGGCTGCGCGCCGGGGCCGAGGGCCGGGGCCGGCGGGGCGGCTCACTGCCTCTCGTTCTCCGTGGCAGGCGCCAGCGAGGCCAGCGGGAAGAGGAGGCGCTGCCCGGCGGGTGGGACGCTTGGCTGGGCCCCGGCCCGCGCTCCACCGGCGCGATGCTCTTCTCGCTCCGGGAGCTGGTGCAGTGGCTGGGCTTCGCCACTTTCGAGATCTTCGTACACCTGCTGGCCCTGTTGGTGTTCTCCGTGCTGCTGGCACTGCGCGTGGACGGCCTGGCCCCCGGCCTCTCCTGGTGGAACGTGTTCGTGCCCTTCTTCGCCGCTGACGGGCTCAGCACCTACTTCACCACCATCGTGTCGGTGCGCCTCTTCCAGGACGGAGAGAAGCGGCTGGCGGTCCTCCGCCTCTTCTGGATCCTCACGGTTCTGAGCCTCAAGTTCGTTTTCGAGATGTTGTTGTGCCAGAAGCTGGTGGAGCAGACTCGGGAGCTGTGGTTCGGCCTGATCACGTCTCCGGTCTTCATTCTCCTGCAGCTGCTCATGATCCGCGCCTGCCGGGTCAACTAGCCTGGCAGAGGAGCTGGAAAGGGAGCTCTCCACGACTAGAATGCTGGACCCAAAATTGAGGACCCCCCGCCCCACAGACGAGAGGAGAAGTCTGGGTCTGAAAGCAACTGCAGCTGGTACCCTGCAGAGTGCTCAGTTTTCTCTATACCAGTCATGTCTGGAACGGTTCCCTCAGCAGGGATGAAAAGAGCAGTCTGATCCTTAAAATGTATTTCCTGTTATTTCATGCTTTGAATAGCTAATCTGAATCGAGATCTTGAGAAGAGCCCCAAGGTAGACAGTCCTGAACTCCTCTGGCAGTTGGAAACTGCATATGAGTAAAATATCCTAATGGGCTCTGAGTATTTTCATGGATCCTGGGAAAGTACCCCTTGTGCAAAGCCTGCGAAGCCAGCCAGCCAGCATCACTGACCTAAGAGCTTACTGTCCCATTCACCCAGATGAGACTTCCTTAGATGTTTGAGCTCTAAAAAGTGTAAACCAGCTTGTGTCTCCTCTCCTGTGCCACTGGGGAAAGGATGGCCCTTTCTTCATTCCAGCCAAGGCAGCCAGGAATATGTTCAGTAAGCATCATCAGGACCCTCTCTGGAGAAATTTCACCTGAGAAAAGAACTTTGCTTTAAAGGCTCGGCTTGGTTTCCTACCCTCGCAGATTGCAGTGTCAAGACTTTTCTACCACCTTGTGGCCAGCACTGTTAGCGCACCTGAGACGGACTTAAGCCTCACTAAGGGACCAGAGAGAGGAAGAGGTGCTCTGATTGATGCTCATAGGCATTGAGACTTGCAAGTGGGAAGTTTGCAAAAGGTCTCAGCCCACATTTGTTGGCTTGAGGTCTTTAGTTTGGTACCAGTCAGGTGCCAAATGAGAACATGCTAAGATAAAAATAAAAGAATGTTTTTGCCGAAGTGCACAGAAGTTGCCTGACCCATGAGGAGTGAAATCAAATGAGTGCTGAGACACTCACTACTGTGTGGTATAGCTGGTTACAGAGCTGCAGTTGTAAGAGGGCTGGAACCTGTTAGAGCTCCATAGGTGGATGGAGGTTTCCCTCGGAGAACTCTTACTTCCTGCCTTGGGAGGCGACATGAAGGCATGGGGTAGGCCCATGCTGAGATCCTACCAAGTAGTTTGTGTGACGTCAAAGCCTTGGTATCCTGCCAGTGTGTGGTCTTTGTGGACCTTGCTGACATTCTGTAAAGCAGGAGTCAGCAAGATATGGCCTGAGGCCTGTTTTTGTCCCCATTGGTTTTAAAGGGTTGTGAAAACAAGAATGTTTGGCAGAAAGCAAATGTGGCTGGCAGTGTACAGGGTCTCTCAGTCTCAACACTGTTGGTCGTTTGGATAAGATCATTCTTTGTTCAAGGAGGGCTCTCCTGAGCATTGTAGAATATTTAGCAGCATCCCTGCCTTTACTCTCTAGATGCCAGTAGCATCTCATTTGTGACAACCAAAAGTATGTCCAGACACTTTGCCAAGTCACCTGGGAGGAAAAACTGGGGAGCACCAGTGGGTTAAAATATTTACTGTCCAGCCCTTTATAGAGTGGATTTGTGGACCCTTGTTCTAGCACAGCAGCTTTGGGACCTTTTACTGAGGATGGTGTATGTATACAGTGTGGCTACTGAGATGCTTGAGTTGGAGATTGGTCTGGTTTGTCCCACAGCTACAAAAATGTCTCCTACTCTGGCATGGCATAACTTGTGCCAAAGCCATACACAAGCTGAACATTTGGAGTGGGTGTTTTTTTTTTTTATCCTCACCTGAGGATATTTTTACATTGATTTTTTTTTTTCATCCTCACCTGAGGAAACATTTCCATTTTTGTTCAGATAGAGTGGGAGGAAGGGATGAAGAGAGAGAAACATTGAGGTGAAAGTTACACATTGAGTGGCTGCCTCCCGCACGACCCCAACCAGGGCTGGGGATGAATTGCAACCAAGGTGCATGCCCTTGACCGGAATGGTGCATGGGCCCACACTCTAACTAATGAGCCAAACCGGCCAGGGCTGATTTTTTTTTAGATAGAGTAGGAGAGAGAGAGACACACACATTGATTGGTTGCCTCCTGCATGGGTCGAGGGTTAAACCTGATTGGGAATTGAACCCCAGACTCTTTGGTCTGAGGGGGATTTAAAAATTTTTTTTTAATGTTATCTTTAGGTTTAGTCTTTTGTTGTTCCCATTTTATTCTGGTAGTTCAGAATTAGGGAGTCCTGTTGCTGTAGAAGGTTTAGCTTCTTTAGGAAAGGTGGTTTACTGCTATGACATTCATAAACTGAGAAGGGCACTTCAATTTGAAACCTGCCTCAGGTGGCCCTGGCCGGTTTGGCTCAGCGGTTAGAGCATCAGCCTGCGGTCCGGAGAGACCCGGGTTCGGTTCCCACTAAGGGCATGTACCTCGGTTGCAGTTTGTCCCCGGCCCTGGTTGGTCGTGTGGGTGGCAGCCACTCGATGTGCCCCTTTCACATCGATGTTTCCCTCTCTCTTCCCCTCTCTCCCTCCCACTCTGTCTGTACAAAAAATGGAAAAATGTCCTCGGATGAGGATTAAAAAAAAAAAAAAACCTGCCTCAGGTGCCCTCGGAGCTCCTTCCCTGAAAGACAGTGGTGTGGGAAGCAGTAGAGTCATTACTAAGTAATTGCTGGCTGCAGGGCAGAATATGGAAGGCAGGCAATGTCTGTCTGTCAGTGCCCCCCAATTTCCCTTCTCCCCTTGATTCCAGTGGACCTAAAAGAATATGGCGGGCACTGGGCAGCCCTCAACGGGTGTAAGCTTACTCATCGCATCTGGGCAGGGAAGCTGTATCCTCAGGGTCATTGGGACCCCTACCAGCCTTGGGATGAGGGAAGTTCAATAGTACTTTGGGGAAGTAACAAGGCAGAATACATCGCCTGGCCTTTGTGGCTCTTTCTGCATTAGAGAGCTGGGAGCCTATTTGCGTGCGGGGAGGGAGTCCCCTTTCCTCTGTGCCTTCTCACAGTCTCCATACTCCTGTCCACGCTTGGTGGGCCCTGGATGGCCAAGTGTGGGGTAGGGCTTCTTCCAAATGTCTTCCAAAACAAACAGTTCTGGGGGCCGGCAAAGTAAGGGGTTCCTGAGAAATCTATTTCTCAGCACTGGAGGGGCTCCAGCACTGGCATCTCCGCAGGGGGCCGAGGACCGCAGGTGGGAGTTCGTTTTCCAGGAAGGACTGGGGTGCATGCAACCTGTGCATCGCCCACAGAGGCGGAGATAGCCTTCCAGTCCTGGACAGGTCCTTCCTCCACTGCGCCCTCACTGCGGGGAACAGGCGGGCTGGGTGTTGGCACGATGAGGAAGTTACCTGGCCAGGCCAAGGTCAACCGCAACGCTGAGCGCAGGGGTCCGTCTCCTGCGGTCCGCCAGGAACCCGCCCCCTCCGGGCTCCGCCCCCAAGGCTCCCGGGGCAGGGCGCAGAGGCGGAAATGAGGGCCACCGGTGAGCCGTGCGAGGTGTCGGGGGCGTGCCCCAGTGGGCCTTCCCCAATGGAGTCCGGCTCCGACGGCGGACGCTGCCCAATGAGGCCCTCGGGAAGGCGGGGCCAGGGGAAGTCTCCTCCAATCAGCTCGGCCGGCTGGAGGCGGGGCTGTGGGGCGTGGGGCGGGTTTGAGCGTGCCTTCCCCAATGGGCGGTGGCCGCGGAGGAGGCGTGGTCGCGGCGCGAAGGCCGGCGGCGGGCGGTGGCCGCAGTTCCCAGCGCGCGCTGGCTCCGGCGGCCGCTCCACACCATGGCCGGCCTGGGGCGGCCGGGCCCGGGGCCCCGCGCCGGGCTGCCCGCCTGGAAGCGGGAGATCCTGGAGCGGAAGCGGGCCAAGCTGGCGGCCCTGAGCGGGGGCTCGGGGGCGGACGCGGCGGGGCCCGCGGAGCCGGCGGACGAGCGGCTGGTGCTGGCCGATAGCCTGGGCCCGCTGCGGGAGAACCCGTTCATGCGGCTCGAGTCGGAGCGGCGGCGCGGGGCGCGGCGCGGCGGGGGCGCGGGCACGGTGGGGGCGCGGCCGGTGCAGCAGCTCCTGGAGCTGTACCGCCGCGTGCCGGGGGTGCGCACCATCCGCGCCGACAACATCCTCATCATCGAGTCGGCGCCCGGCTTCCCTCCCGCCGCTGCGGATCTCGCCGCTGGCTCGGCTGCTCGCATCCGCGCCGCCGAGGTGCTCGTATACGAGGCGCAGCCGCCTCCCGGCCGCGTCAGCCGTCTGCTCCAGAAGTTCGACCCGCCGGCCGCACCGGGCCGTCGCGGGAGCCCGGAGCGCAGTCGCCCCCAGCCGCCGCCGCCGCCGCCGCCGCCCAGCCCCGGTCCAGCCGCCCCGCGCGTGGGCGAGCGCGTCGCCTGCTTTGAGCCCGAGCGCCGCGGCGCAAGCCCAGGGGCCCGGCGCAGCGACTTCCTGCAGAAGACCAGCAGCAACTCTTTCACCGTCCACCCTCGGGGCCTGCACCGCGGTGCGGGCGCTCGCCCGCTCCCCAACGGGCCCGCGGTCCCGGAGTCCCGGGCCGGCGCTGCCAACGGCATCGCGGGCTCCGCGCTTGGGCCGGGCGAATACAAGCCAAAGGTGGAATCGGGGGAGCCCCCCCGCCACCCGCCCCCCAGTCCCGGGACCCCCAGTGCCACTCCAGCCGCGCCCATGCCCAGTCCTACCAGTGCCACTCCCAGCCAGCGCCACTGGGTCTCCTCGGCCACCAGCGCCAACGACTCCTTTGAGATACGGCCGGCCTCCAAGCCAGATATGGACACGATTCCCGCCGGGGACCTGCAGGCCCGGGCTCTGGCCAGTCTCCGAGTGAATTCCCGCAACTCTTTCGTGTTCGTCCCCAAGCGCAAGGCCTCTGGGGCCCCTCCTCCCCAAGGGAGGCAGTCCGTGAGGCTGCCAGAGGGAGAGGTTGCCTGGGCTTCCCAGCACTCGCAGCGTGGAGCCCAGCTGGTGCCTGTCTGCGGGAGGAGCCCCTTGGGGGCTCAGGAGGGGGCCTGCCCCAGGCCAGCCACTGCCCTAGTGGACCGGGCTGTTAGGTGGCAGAGGCCATCCTCACCACCCCCGTCCCTGCCGGCTGCCGCCGAAGCCGAGCCTTCCCAGGGCTTTGGGGTTCCCTGCTTGGCCAAGAATGGCGGGGAGCCTGGAAGGCCAGGACTGCCCGTCACCTTCATCGACGAAGTGGACTCGGAGGATGAGGTCCCCCAAGAAGCCAAACTGCCCTGCTCAGGGGCCAGTGCGCCTCCCCACTACCACACATCAGAGCTCTCGCACCGAGGTGGCAACACCTTCACGGTGGTGCCCAAGAGGAAGCCAGGGGTCCTGCAGGCCAATGGAGAGCCCGGGCCAAAGGAGGCCGAGGAAGTGGAGGCGGACGGCCTCTCAGATGCCCCTGCTGTCCTAGGGGCCTCACTGAAGAAGCGCTACCCTACAGTGCATGAGATCGAGGTGATTGGCGGCTACCTGGCCTTGCAGAAGTCCTGCCTCACCAAGGCTGGCTCCTCAAGAAAGAAGGTCAGTGTGGGGGCAGGGTCACCACCAGGAGGTAAAGAGGTGAGGGGTCACATGTACCCTGTTCCCAGGACACCTGGCCTGGGTTGGGGAACTGCTTCTGTGTGGACCAGAGGAGAGCTGGGTTTGGGTGGCCATGCAAGGTCCAGGAGGGGCTGAGCTGGGGGACCCCTGACCTGGCCCCAGTAGAGCTCTAATAAACCAGGGCGTTGGGTTCGGCTTGCCTACTCTGTGCCTCGAAAGGCAGGTGTGGAGGGTCAGTCCAGCCAGTGCCTGTCTGTTGGTTCTGAGGCTTTGTCTGGAATTGGCTGGGGAGGCCTGTCTCACCAAGGTCCAGCTTGGAGAAAGGTCTAAGCTTGGTAGCTCACCTGGCCTTCAGGTAAGAGAGGGGTAGCCCTGGGTTGATCTGGACTTCTGGCCTATTCAAGTAGCAGGTGCCAGGATGGAAGTGGGAAGGGGCAGGAAGACTGTGATTTGGGTGTGGTTGGCTCCCTACCTTATGGTCAGCCTAGGGGCACAGCCATTTGGAGGGGGCCCTCAGCTCCCCAAAGACACGACAGCCTGGAACTCAGCAGGACCTGGTCTTGTGAGAGTGTTTGTTTTTTTTTTATCTCTGTGTGTGCTGGGTTGAGTTTGAATCTGGGGTGTGATGCTGGGAAAAGATGGGGACACCCCACCTTGTTAGGGAGGAGCAGCTTAGGGCAGAGAGACCCAGGTACAGGGCCAGGAGCCGCAGTCCATGCCGCCCTGCCCTGCTTGGTGGCCTGGAACACTTTGGGCACAAGAATTTGTTCCGCAGATTCTTCCTGGTCATTCTATCAACCTGTGTCTGACCCTGAGGCAAATTCCAAGGACAGCTCCTTGTGACCCTCATTAGCAGGCAGGGCACAGATGCACTTTCTCAGCTGCTATAGCCGCGGGTGTCTAGGGTCCCTGAGGTCACTTCTACCCCAGCCTCAGTTTCCTTAGGGCCACGGGGTGGTGAAGTGCTTGCTACTCATGTCACCTCTTTTCTCTGTTTGCTTCCTTCTGATTTCCTGCCTCGGCTCGGCCTTGGCACTGTCTCTCCTGGTGTCATCCTCCGCTCCTTCCCTGGTGAGGGCACCTGCGCTCCTGCCAGTTCCCACCGCTGGGTCTGGCACCCACAGCGTCCCTTCCTGGCCTTGTCTTTGGGGCAAGGGGCCACGACTCCCCCCACCCCATTCCTGCCCAGGCATGATCCCCATCCAATTCACTCCGTAGCCAGGGCCACCAGCCCCACCCCATACTTGCAGCCTCCTTGTCTGCCTCTTCCTTTCTCTTTTGCTTTCTGACCCTTGACCCCAGCTCCACTGGGAGGCCATCCTTCCCGGAGAATGAGGTGATAACAGCTTCCTGCCTGTAAGTGAGGAGTGAGGTCATGGAGCTCATGGGGTGCGCTTTCTGTTTCTGAGCTGCTATGTGCCGCCTGACTTCGTCCTGGGACCAGAAGGCTGCAGCCTGGAGCCTGGTCACCCCACCCCCAGCTGGTACAGGGCTGTGGGGTCACTCATGGGGGCATTGGTGTGAGAAGGGCAAGGCAGAGGGCCAGCAGGGCAGGAAGAAGCAATGGAAGGACTCAGACCCAGGCTTAGAGTGGAGAGGGACTTGACCAGCCTGGCCCACTCGGTGCCACTCCGTGCTGTCCTGAGGGGTTGTGGGTCCAGATGGATGACACTTGGCATGGCCAAGTGGCCTGGCGAGGGCCCTGCCAGAGCAGCACAGCCTGCTGGCAGTGACTTCCTGCCTGGGCATGCACCAGCTGCCCTGCCCAGGAAGTGCCAGACTCGTGTTGGGTGGGATGGGGGCGTGGGGCTGCCCAGCCCTTCAGAGCAGCCTGCCAGCCTTGGGCTGCCCTTGTCTCCTGCCAGTGGTGCCTGGGTACTCCTCCCGCTGCCCCTCCAGACCCTGGGCCAGGGGCCTCCGGGCCGATCCTCACCCGAACCGCTTAGCCAGCCTGTGGTTTCATCGCTGCCCTGCTCCTCCCATCCCGTCAGGGACATGGTGGGCCGAAGGCCAGCCGGGCCCTGGGGCTGACTGCTCACTCTGACCCCCGAAGGGCTGACAGTGGAGGAAGGTGTCGGTGCCTTTTCCGGGGGACGGGCTCGGTGGGCCTCTGCAGGGGGGCTGTCTGGGCAGCAGGGTCAGGGGAACCCGCCCCTGGCTGGCAGGTTGTCGTGCCCTTGTGTGGCATCGGAGGGCTACAGCTTTGCCCTGGGCGGTGGGGCACCCAACCTGCCTATGCACCTGGGAGGCCTGCCTGGCGGGCACATGTCCCCACTTAGTTATCTCTTCGCAGAATCACAGATGCTCTATCACTGTCTCCCTGGATGGCCACCTGGGGCTGGCTGCTGCGTGGTGTCCCAGCCTTGCTCCTCTCACCCCTGCCTGGCCCCGGGCGGCTTGGTGGGTGGCGCTATCCCTCAGCTCTCACCCCCGCTTCCCATGGGACTGGCACTGTGGGCCTCCCCTTTGTGAGGTGCCACTCGGCCAGGCTCCTGCCTGTCTGGTGGCTTCTTTCCTTCCCCTTTGCTCTCCTCACCTCCTTACCTGCTGGTGCTCTGCCCAGCCCCAGTGTGGGCCACCTGCCCTCATTTCACCTCGGTGACCACCCCGCACCTTGACTGGCTGGCTTGGCTGTGCCCTCTGGGGCCTGTGCTGCCACCTCCTTGCCAGTGTGGAGTCCCGTACCCTCCTGCCATGTGGGGTGGGATACCAGGTGCCTGGCGCCGTGTTGGCTGCATCTGCTCTGATCTGCCCTTCCCCCCGCCCGACTCTTCCTGCTGGTGCCCCCCCCCCCAAATGGTCTCTCTAGAGCCCAGAGACCACGGGGGCAGCCCTGGACCCTGCTCTGCTCAGCTTCCCCTCAGGCAGAAGATCTGCCCTGGGCTGGGGGCTGCACTTGACTCTGGCCCCACATTTGTGGGAACTCACTCTGCTGCATCAGGCTGGGTGGGGGATGGGAGCTGGCAGGTGTGTGTGAGGAGTAAGGGGTGGGGCCCTCATCCCGGCTGGAGCTGGTTGAGCCCAGTCAGCCCAAAGTCCAGGGTGGGTGGGCGGGGCAAGGGGAACAAAGGACCTGTGGGAGCCGGGACCCACCTGCGGCTGTCCTTGGTGCAGCGGGCAAAGTGGAGAGACAGGTGACTAGGTGTGTGAGTGCCAGCCTCACGCCCCTCTGCCTGCCGGTGTTGGGAGGGTGGCCCCCAGTGGCATGAGTCACGGGGCATCCTGTGACCTGATGACATACACCCCCACGGGGGTGAGGGCGCTGTCAAGGATGGTGACCGGAACAGGGCCTGTGAGCACTGCCCCACCCCCACCTGGCCAGACAGTGCCAGGCTGGGTGCCTGCCTTTGCCCAGCCCCCTCAGTCTCTCAGCTGGGAGCTAGTCATGTGGACTAATGAGGGCACGCTAATCCGCCGGCCCTGGCAGCTAGCCCTTCCTGTGCCTTCAGCAGTGGGGGATGGGCCTGGAGGCTCAGGGTCTTCAGGGACAATGCCATGTACCGAGGGGCCTTGGGGCAGGGAGAACCTCTGGGCTAGCAGCTCCATCCTGCCTTGGGCTCCTCCTGGGGGATCTGTCCCTAAGTCCCAGAGGGCTAGGTGACTCTGTCCCCAAGCTGATTAGCAGTAGGTGGGCACCTGTGGACTCTGTTGAGCTGCCCTGTGCCAGGCCTCTGCCCCTCTTGGCTCCATGGCAGGGGCAGAGCAGGGTGAGGGACAGTGCGCCTCCCAGTGACGGGAACAGACAGCTCGCTCTGGTCTTGCCTGACTTGGGTAGTCTGCTCCTGTCCCTGACCCCTTGTCTGTGTAGGTGGCTGGAGCAAAGGGCGATGGGACCAGGCCTTGACTTGCCCAGCAGGTGTCTGTGTGAACAGTGCTGAGATGGAAAGCCCAGAAGCTTGGTGGGCATGTGGGGTGCCCAGCCGAGCAGGGCTCTGTGTGCACATGTGGCTGAGGGAGGAGGTGGAGTGGCCCAAGAGTGTGACCTTGTTTATGGACGCTGGTGGGTCCTGCACATGTCCCCAGAGGCCAGGGTCTGGGTCCCTCTGTGGCCCTGGGCTGCCAGCTCAGCCTGTGAAGCCCTTCCCTGTCCTGCTGTCCCTGCCCCATGGTCCTCTGCCTGGGGGCCCAGCCTCTGCCTCCGGCTCCTTCCAGGGGAGGAGGAGGAGGAACCTGAGCTGGCTGCCGGTGTCCTGTGCCCGAGAGTTTAATATTTCGAGCTCCAGCAGGGCTGCTTCCATCTGCCGCGGGCGGGCCGAGTATTCATTACCGACCGCAGGCCTGGCCGAGCCCTGCGGAGCAGGCCTGGGCTTTCAGCTGGGCCGGGGAATTCTGGAGCCGGCAGAGTGGGCAGGGTGGAGAGGGCCAGGTGGCAGCTCAGGTGGGTGGAGAGGGTCCCGGCCCTGCCCTCGGTGCAGCCTGAGACCAGCCCTGACTCGGTCTGTAAAATGGGCAACAGTGCTCAATGCTGCATTCCTGGGCTGGCATGTGGCAGCCACCTGGCTTTGGCACTTCATGCAGGCCCATGGGCACCTGGCCTTTGGTGTGCCAGGCCCTTTCCCAGCAGTGGTGGTCCATGCTGAGCTGGGTGGGCAGGACCGTCCAAGTGCCCAGCAGGCTGGGACATGAACTTGGCTCTGGAGAGAGGCCCCAGCCAATAGCAGGGAGCTTCTGGGAGCTGAGGAGGTGGGCCCCCAAGGCGGTGAGGCCCCTAGTAGAGCCTAACCTGGATTCTGCTCCTGCGTGCGGCCAGCAAGTGGGAGGGTGCGGGGCGAGTGCTCCGCTCCCCGAGAAGGCAGCCTCTGACCCTCTAACTTAGAGGTTCCTGGAGACCCCAAGGGTGCTGGCTGGGGTCTGGCCCCTTGAGGGGGATCATCACTTGGGGTGATGTGACCCTGGGCCTGGGGTGCAGGTCTTTGGACAGCCAGTTCCAGCTCTTCCGGGGGCCTGCAAGGCCCAGGTGGAGGAGTCTTCTCTGATGAGAGGCAGCCGCCCATCTCTCCGAGCCTCTGAGGGCTGATAGCATGTCCTGCCACTCTTCGGACCTGACAGCCCCCACTGTGCCGGGGGTCACTGCACACTTGGTCCAGCGGGAGGACCTGTGCCTGGGCACTGTGGTGGCTGGCCAGCAGCAGGCCCTGGCTGATGTGCCTTCTGCCCTAGATGAAGATCTCCTTCAACGACAAGAGCCTGCACACCACGTTCGAGTACCCTTCCGAGAGCTCTCTGGCACAGGAGGCGGAGGCGGAGACCGAGGTGGAGGGAGAAGAGGAGGAGGGCGAGGAGGAGGTGGAGGAGGGAGGGTCCGGCTTAAATGGGGCGGTGGAGAAGCCCTTTGCTCTCTTCCTGCCCCGAGCCACCTTTGTGAACAGCGTGGCGCCCGAGAGCCCTCGCCTGCCAGACGGTAGCTCAGGTGAGTGTTCAGCTGTCCATGTGGGCAGCCCAGCGGGTAGCCTGGGCCACATGTCCATGCGTTCACATGTCCACATGTCTGCCTTGGCCTGCAGGCCTGTCCAGCTACACTCCAAAGCACTCCATGGCCTTCAGCAAGTGGCAGGAGCAGACTATGGCACAGGCCCCCAGCGAGGTGGAGCACTCCCAGAAGGAGGTCATGGTGAGTGGGGGCGGGGAGGATGCCCTGGCACTGGGTGGAGGCAGGTCTCTAAGGCCTGGGAGAGCCCCCTGTTGACTTCCTTCCTACCCCCTCAGCTTACCCCTGCCAGTCACAACGACCTTTCGGACTTCCGCAGCGAGCCAGCCCTGTATTTCTGACTCCAGTCCCACCAGGATGGCCAAGCTCCACCCTCACTCTGCACAATTCTTCTGCCCCGCCAGTTTCTGCCCCCCCATAACACCTCCCCTCCCCCACCTTCCTGGAGCCTCAGAACCATGCTGCTGGTACTTAAGGCCTGAGCCTGGGGCACCAGGGGCCACTCCTTCCTTTGGGGCCCTGCTCTCCAGCCATGGTTTGGGGCAGGGTCCTGCTGGCAGCTACACCCAGTGACCATTGGGTGTGTCCAGGGTGAAGGACCCGTGGCTGAGCTCAGCCTGTCTCCTGTGTGACGAGTGGAAGTCTATTCTTACCTCTGATGACGGACTTAATAAACAGCGCTGGATGAGTCGCCTCCTTGTGTGGTCCTCTGCCTAAGATGGGGCGTGCAGGGCTAGGGGTACAGGGCTCCACTGAGGTGCTGGCAGCGGACAGAAGCTCAGATAGGGTGTGATGGGGGCCCAGCTTGTACTTCTTTCTGTGCCTGGGGGCATGGGTGGTGGGCACCCCCACACCTCACAGTGCTGGTTCTCACTCCCCACCACCCGTTGCCCTCCCAGCCACCCTCTTGCCTGGAAGAGGGACCTCCCTCTGTGTGCCTCTAGTCTCCGGGCCAATCCCCCCAACCCAGCACTGGCACAATGGGCCTGTTCTCTTGGGTCTGGAACTGTGCCCAGGAGCCTGCACTGCAGGTGGTAGGGGTGGGCATTGCAGCTGTTGGGTCTGAAGCTTCCCTGAAGGGCCAGGAACCTCCTGGGAGGGGACCAAAAAGCTGGGCAGGGGATGGGGTGTGCAGAACTTAGGGATCTCGTCTTCTGTTAGGCTTGGAAGTCCTTGACCCACAAGAGCCTTCGAGCTCCCTTGGGGTCAGTGCTAGCAGCTGGCTGGGAAACCCACGGGACCCTGGGAGGTGACAAATGAAGTGATGGGAGATGTGGAGGGGCCGCTGGGTGCAGTTCCAGGTCAGGCCTGGCTGCCTGCTCAGTGACATCCTGGAACCAGGACCATTTACAGTCCAGGTATCGACTTGAGGTGATTCCTCTTGGAGAGTCTGGGTTTGGGAGGGAGGGTGTTTTTGGTGTGTTTTTCTGGGAGGAGTGGGCCCATTTCTCTGCACTTAGACTTTCAACCTACATACATACTAACCTCCCCACTCCCCGAGGCAAGGGGGTGCAGGGACTTGATGGGCTAAAGGCCCACAGAGATGGACTGAGGGCTTGGGATGGAGGACTGGGCCCCAGGCCACCTGCAGAACTAGACGTAGGCATGCCTGGGGGGTAGCCAGGGAGGGCAGGAAGCAGTGGACCGTCAGACTGAGTGCAGTCTGGAGCCCAGAAGGACATCACTCTAGGTCGGGCCTTGTGTGGGCACCAGAGATCAGGATCATCAGGCAGAGCCCCTCAGGGAAGGGTGGCTGTGTGGGCTGGGGTCAGGAATGGGGGGAGGGTGGGTGGTGTGAGGGTCACAGGAGATCCTCAGCTCTGTCCCCACCCCCACCCCACAGAGGAGCCACAGTGACTCTGGGAGCAGCCAACAGCGCCCCTCTCCTGACGGGACACAGGCAGCAGGGTTGCTTGGATCTTTACAAAGACAACCTTTATTGACAGCCACAGGCCACTAGGGCGAGCTCTGAGGTGCAGGAGGGACCCTACCCATTTGCCTGGCCTGGGCACCTGCTGACAGAGGAACATGAGGGGACTCCCATGATGCTGGGACGGACTCAGAACCCACCCTCCCCATGCCTGTGCGAGTGCACGGCCAGGACCCCCACCCGGCAGGCTGCAGGCTTTCCTTGTCACCCAGAGGTGGTGGAGACTGGCAGCTGCCTCTCGAAGGTAGCTGGTGTCGTGAACAAAGATGCTTTGAAAACAGACTTGCTGGGGATCAAACTGTTGATGGGTGCAGTGGACGGGGGCCTTGTCAACTGTCCTTGGCCCCACTGCCCTTCTGCTCTGAGGCTGTGGCCTTGGTCAAGTTCCCAGCTTCCCTCTTCAGGACACTAAGCAGAGTCTGCGAGCTCTCCAGGATCTGGGAACAGACAATACAATTGTCCTGTTGGAAGTTCCCACAGCCCAGACCCCCTCCGCCACATGCCCCACATGCCGTGCCAGAGCCAGGCCACTGGGGCTGTGGTCAGGAGCAGCTGAGCAGAAGCCCCTGAGGGGATGGGGGGTATGCGTGCCAGCAGGCTGGGTAGCCTCCCCACCCCCCTGCCCCAGAGCCTCGCCCAAAGCCCCTTCCTCAACCCTGGAAAGACTGCCCCCTGCTGCCACTCTGCCGCTCACAATCTGGAACAAGCCACACAGTACCGAGTACAGCGCACAGAACAGAACCTGGGACGCCTCGGGCCCCACTGAGGGCTGCGCTCTCCCTCCAGGTGGGCCTGGCCATGCCACAGACCTGTCCCTTCCGCTGGCGGGCGCCCTGGGGACTCACTCGCCTGGCACACAGGTCCCTGCGCTGCCCCGAGCCCCACCTTGAGATAGGCGGCCTCCGTCTCTGCGATGGTCCGATCGAACTCATTCCGAGAGGCGATCTTGCGTGCCAAGTTCTCGTTGACGCGGGCCAGCTTCTCCGTCAGCTGCCGCACCTCGTTCTGCAGCCGCTGCTTCTCTTCCTCCTCCTGCTGGATCTGCCGGCACAATTCCTCCCGCTTCTGGCACAGCTCCTCAATGCCTGCGGCGGGCCGAGGGCCAGGGCGGTGGGCACGGGGCGGGGAGGGAGGTCAGCGCCGCCGCACCCGCTCTGGACGCCACGGCTCTGTCGTCCCCAAGGGTGGTGGGCCTGGGCCCCTTGCCACCGGGGCCAAGCCAGTGTCCCACCTCCCAGGGGTCTCGGGATTGAGGAAAGCGCCGCGCGAGACCACCCGGACTTGGTGCGCGCCAGCCGCGGCTGTGCCTGCACGGGTCCGAGCGGCCTCCGCGCCGCGGGGGCCGGGCCACCCTGCCCCGCCAGCCCCGCGCCCTCGCCGCCCGCCCTCACACTTGACCAGCTCGTTGTTGTAGTTCTGCAGCGCCGCGCCCTGCTGGGTCATGGTCCCGCCCGGGCTCCCGGCCGCTCCAACCGCCGCCGCGCCTGGTCCGCGCGCCTGCGCACTGCCTCTGCGCCGCGCGCGCGCCGCGGCGTCACCGTCGCGCGCCTCGGTGCGTCATCACCGCGCGCGGCGCCGGGACTGGGCGGGCGCTGATGGCGGCGGCGGAGGGGCCCCCGGGGCCCGCACAGGAGCTGCTGGCGGCCTGGAGCACCGTGAGCACCGGGCTGGTGCCGCCCGCCGCGCTGGGGCTGGTGAGGCCCGGGGACCGGGCAGCGGGCCGGCGCGGGGTCCCGCTCCGCCGCGCGCTGTGTTAGAGGCGCACCCCGGGTCCTCTGGCTGCGGCCGTCGCCCGCCTCGGTCCTGTGCCCTCTCCGCCGCTGTGTCCCTTCCCCTTCGCTCGCCGCCTGTCCCCGCCCGCCCCGCCTCTACAAGCGCTGGGGACGCGGGTCCTCACGTCTTCTGCTTCGCAGGCGTCCTCCCGGACCAGCGGCGCGGTCCCGCCGAAGGAGGAGGAGCTGCGGGCCGCGGTGGAGGTTCTGAGGGGCCACGGTCTGCACTCGGTCCTGGAGGAGTGGTTCCTGGAGGTGCTGCAAAATGACCTGCAGGCCCACATTTCCCGCGAGTTCTGGAATGCCGTCTCGCAGCGCGAGGGCTGCCCCGACGAGCCCCAGTGCCTTGTGCTGCTGCTTGACGCTTTCGGCTTGCTGGAGAGCCGTCTGGACCCCTACCTGCGCAGCCTGGAGCTCCTGGAGAAGTGGACTCGCCTGGGCTTGCTGATGGGCACCGGCGCGCAGGGGCTGCGGGACAAGGTCCACACCACCTTGCGAGGCGTCCTGTTCTTCTCCACTCCCAGGACCTTTCAGGAAATGGTCCAGCGCCTCTATGGGCGTTTTTTGAGAGTCTACATGCAAAGTAAGAGGAAGGGAGAAGGGGGCACAGACCCGGAGCTGGAGGGGGACTTGGATAGCAGATATGCCCGCCGCCGGTACTACAGGCTGCTGCAGAGCCCCCTGTGCGCGGGATGTGGCAGTGACAAGCAGCAGTGCTGGTGCCGCCAGGCACTGGAGCAGTTCCACCAGCTCAGCCAGGTCCTGTGAGTACTCGCATCTGCACGACCATGCCCTCTTTCTCCCGACTCCTGCTTGCTCCCCTGGGTCCAGCTGGCCTCTGCAGAGAGCTGGTGAGCTGGCTAGCTGGCTGGGGTCTCTGCCATCTGTCCTGATAGCCACGGACAGGGCAGAGGGAGGGTTGCTAGGATCCTTGTGCTGTGAATTTAGCACCTTCTGTCCCCGACACAGGCATGTGTCTGTCATTCACACTGGCCCAGGGTTTCACACTTTGCTCGCACTAAGCTCCTACGTGATTCGAGTTTCCTGAGGGGTTCACTGTGCCTTTTGTAGGCTCCCTTGTGCTTGCCGGAGCTGAGCTGGCTGTTTTCTCCACAGCACAAGTCAGGTGTCAGGCCAGCAGGTTGGGCAAGCAGGTGTCTCTTCAGTCCTTTGAAGAGGAAAGAATGTTGTCGTCATCATCATTGTTGTTAAAACCAGGTTCTGTTTTACAGGCCCTTCACCGTCTATGACCACTTAGGACAATTTTATCCTGTTGAATGAAGAGGTTCTGTTTTACAGGCCCTTCACCGTCTATGACCACTTAGGACAATTTTATCCTGTTGAATGAAGCGGTCGTTAGGCACAGTCTTTTAGGTGGACCTGGGGAGCGGTCCTGTTGCTGGCAGGTGTCAGGGAGGCCCTGAGGGCTTCTGCTGGGGTCATCCAAGGTGAAAGTTACAAGGAAGTGTTCTTTCTCACCTCCTCACGTGTCCCTTTGCCGTTGTAGGCCAGGGCCTGCACTAGCGGCCAGCAGCAGTGGCACTGTGTGCACGCCAGGTGGCTGTGGTGTAGCTGCTGTTTCAGAGGCATCTCTGGGCGATGAGGCTTTGACCCGATAGCCACGTGCTGCTCACAGGGGAAGTGCGGTACCGCAGTCCAGGCAGAGGCCAGCTGGGGGGCGGCGGTGCCTTGCCAATGCTGTCCTGCCAGCGTCCCTGGGCACCAGGCGCCTCCTCCAGGAGGGCCGTGGGGAGGTGTGTGCCGTGTGGGTGGGGTGTGCATGCGTGTGCTCTTCGTGCTCCACGGGCAGGGCTCTCCTCCAGGCACAGGCTCAGTCTGCTGGAGCGGGTCAGTGCCGAGGCCGTGACCATCACCCTGCACCAGGTGACCCGGGAGAGGATGGAGGACCGCTGCCGGGGCGAGTACGAGCGCTCCTTCCTGCGAGAGTTCCACAAGGTAGTGTCATCCCCTTGGGCTGTGTCCCCTGGAGACTGGGGGCTGGGTTTCTGGCAAACTTGATGTGCTGGCTTTAGAAACAGCGAGAATGTGGAGACTCCAGTGAACCAGGCCTCACTGTGGGTTGAGGCTGTCTTGGTGCTGGTGGAGGCCAGTCCTCATGGGCTCTCCTTGGTGACAGCATATAAGAGCCCACGCCATGCTCAGCAAGGTCCGTGTGAATTACTTGGCTGGAGGCAGTGCTTAGGGCTGGTGTGTCCCATGAGGGGCCTTGGGGTGCCCACACTGTTGGGGCATGGTCTGGGACTCTGCCCTGGGCTTTCCAGTCATGGAGGAGCTGGGGCCAACCATGGGGCCATCCAGCCTGCTCCTACTTTCCACTTGTCGTCTCCACCGCTTCCTAGTGTCTACCTCCTGAGGATGCAGCTTAGCTGTGATGGGGCGGGGGGCGGTTCAGAGCAGGTGTTCCTGAGCCTGCGGTCTGGATGGGTGTGGGCTGGAGGCCTGGTTAGGGTGGCTGCGCTGCCCCTGGTTGCAGTGTCAGGGTGCTCTTCTCGGGGCTGGGCAGCCTGGGGGCTGTGTGCATCCTGACCCACGTGGCGGGATCTCATGTGGGTTTACCTGCTTGTGCTCGGAAACGTGCTCACTATACTCCGAGCAGCTGCATGTGGGGCGTGTGTGGTCCCCGCTGGGTCTGCGTCTGTCCTCTCAGGTGGAGGTGAGCCTGTGCTCTGTGCCCTACGTCAGGGCTGCTGTTGCGCCTGAAAGGGGCAGGAGGTGCATGGGTGGTGAGCCTCAGACGCCCCCTTGGGACCAGTCCCCTGCTGGTTTTGATGTTTTTCTGATCTCCAGAGCAGGTGGCCTTGGGGACTGCCCTGGACCCTCCCAACAAGGTGGATATGGGTGTAGCTTGTTTCCACCTGTTCTGGGTCCCCCTTCCCCACACCTGTGCTCTCCCAATAGTGGATCGAGAGGGTGGTCGGCTGGCTTGGCAAAGTGTTCCTGCAGGACGGCCCTGCCAGGCCCACGTCCCCTGAGGCTGGCCCCACACTGCGCCGCTGGCGCTGCCACGTGCAGAGGTTCTTCTACCGCATCTACGCGGGCCTGCGCATTGAGGAGCTCTTCAGCATCATCCGAGGTCGTCCCGGCCTGCCCGCCCACCTTCCCTGTGCCCTGGCCTTGCAGTTCTTGAGGGTGGTGAGGGGTGCTTGGGGCTGTGTTGTCTGGAGTGGAGCTGGTTCCCCCTCCCTCTGCTCCGGGGTGGGCTTCCCCAACCCAGTACCTGAATCAGGGCAGGTGTATGTTGGGGTGCAGACGGTACTTCTGGTGCCCACCCCGCCACTTCGGCCTCATATCTGTGCTCTGCTCTGGCCCTGTGGTGCCGTCTGCCCGGGACAGCTGCAGTTAAATGTGTGGGCACATGGAGCATACAGGTAGCTGGGGCACTCAGCAGGTGTCCCTCAGACGTGGGCGTGGCCGCTCACCCTCCAGGCTCCGCTGCTGCCTGTATGCACAGTGCGTGTGCGTGTGCATGTTGAGTGCTGGCTGCTTCCTGCAGACTTCCCGGACTCCCGGCCTGCCGTCGAGGACCTCAAGTACTGCCTGGAGAGGACAGACCAGAGGCAGCAGCTGCTCGTGTCCCTCAAGGCTGCCCTGGAGACACGGCTCCTCCACCCAGGTGGGCTGACCTGCCATTCACCTCAGGGCCCAGGGCCTGGGGGTAAGGTGGGGTAGTGCACAAGCCCAACACAGACTGTTTGGTGGGGGGCGGCCAGGTTCTGGGGAAGTTCTGGAGAAACCTTGTGGGGCCATAGAGGTGGGAGGGGTAGCCCCCTGCCAGCTGTGCTCACGCCCTGGGGAGCGAGGTCACAGCCTGTGGCCGCCTGGATATCCTGTGTCGTCCCAGCTGCTGCCGTCACCTCCTGTCTCTTCTCCTGCTGTAGGGGTCAACACCTGTGACATCATCACTCTCTACATCTCCGCCATCAAGGCGCTGCGCGTGCTGGACCCCTCCATGGTCATCCTGGAGGTGGCCTGTGAGCCTGTCCGCCGCTACCTGAGGTCAGCACTGTGGGTGCTGATCTCTGGGCTCCACTCACGCAGCTGAGCTCCCGAGGGCCCCAGGGGACAGCAGAGACACTGTCTTCCCGCTGTCCCTGTTCTCAGTGTCACCGTGCCCTGCCCCACCCGTGACCTAGCACAGAGAGCTGCCTCGGCTGACCAGGCCCCACGCTGACTGGAGGAACGGGCCACAGTCGGGCAGCTTAGTTAGAGAAGGTGCTCAAGCCTGTGGTGCCCAGCCTCCCAGAGACGTCGGGGCAGCAGGCTGGGCTGGGGCTCGGGGGCCTGCAGCTGCCGGACTGCTTTTTGCTGCCTTTTGGCCCTGTCCACCTGGTCATTTCAGCTCCTGCTGTTCGTGGAGAGTCGTGGTTCATTGTTATGTTTAAATCATATTTTATTTTGTTTTGTTTTAAGCAGAGTCTTTGATATGTGGCCACGGGGCTGGCTTGGGGGGAGGCGGGTTGTCATGCAGTCAGGTGGGAGGGCATTGAGGTGTCCTGAGGGCCCACGTGCTCACACTGACAGGACACGGGAGGACACGGTGCGGCAGATTGTGGCTGGGCTGACGGGGGACTCGGACGGGACCGGGGACTTGGCTGTCGAGCTGTCCAAGACGGACCCAGCAAGCCTGGAGACTGGCCAGGACAGTGAGGACGACTCCGGCGAGCCCGAGGACTGGGTCCCTGACCCTGTGGAC